CAGCAAGAACAAAAGAGCAAGCCTCTTTCCCTCCCTAATATTGTATGCAGGCTCCCCGCCCCAGTGTGTCACTCACACCCATAATCCCAGTGTGAACCGTGGATCAATCAGAAACTCTAGAAGCCCATCCTATGACTGCATGAGGCTTTGCGGGGACATCTAGACAAACCATAACACATGTTGTGGTAAAAAAATACAGGAATGCTGAGTGCTACCCATTGGAAAGGCAGGATCATAAGCCATTACAGTTGTCCTCATCTTTATTCCCTGGATGTGGTACCTTGTGACTGCCTTCCCTAAAGTAAAGATGACCATGAAAGGGAAATGTTTTGAATAGATACAGGACATCAAGGCGTCCATGATAACACAACTGAAGATACTCAGGAAAGAGGACTTGAGAGCTGCTTCAGAAAGTGGCTAGAATGATGAGTTCCATGTGTTGGAAGTGGAGAGGATTTTGAGGACGATTAATGGCAATGTATCTTTTACTGTTTGGGGGACAGGGCCGTGCCTTCACCGTATTTTTTGATCACATCTCATTTCTCTGCTTGTCTCAAAAGTGTATTTTCACCTTTGTTTCAGATGGTATTCAGATGGGGTCCACAGACAGCATTTGTTTGTTTTTGCCCTCAGGGTTTATTCAGTCTGTGATAGTCTTTCTCTCTTCCCCATTTCCATACTGTTTTCTTTAGAAGAAACTTTTCCTGCAGGCTTTAACTCATTTTTCCTCTGTTCAGCTTTGGGCCTCGCTCAAGCTAGCCAATGCTGTGCTACAGAGCTCCATCCCCTCCCTGTGCCACATTGCAGATCTGAGAGATTGCTACTTTGTAATTTCACTTCACTTTCTACTGTATCCCACACTTCTCGTCAGCAGATCCTTAGGTTCAAGTCATGGATAATCTTTGTTGAATTCCAGTCCCTATCTGCCCATCACCTAATGAGTATAGCACCCACGTGGTCCAGACCTCATTTCTTTAGGTATTACACATTGGTGCTTCTAGTTACATCCTATGCTCTGCATTTATTAGCAGTGATTCTTAATAAAGGACTTTCTCTTAGCTATTGGTAGCTTGGAATCAGGGGAGACTAGGTGGATAGTTGCTTTTTTGCCCCTTTTGATAGGTTTTGGAATAATGAGTTGATGCCCTGGCAGCTTCACTGGTGATAGACCAAGAGTATTTCTTAGAGTCATTGTGAATCAAGGGCTGTAGGTAATATCTGAGGCATTTCAGGGAATTGTAGGCTTTGTTCATGCTGATGCTCACATTGATCCATTAGAAGACTAGTGTCCCCACTAGTCTTTGGTAAACTCTGGTTTTGACAGATGTTCCAGGCTCATTTTATACAAACGATCATTTCTCTAAGGAACTGTTTTTGTTTTTGTTTTAACTTGACAAGTAGTTTTTAAAAACAACAGGCTGAGGTGCTAGTAGTTGTTTACTGTTGTGTTGTCTTTGTTCTAGAAATTTTCTGTGGACAGAAGTAGGAAAACGTGTTTTAGGAAGTATTTAGTGTTTTTTAGTCCTAGGCATACATTGTACCACAGAGTTAAGGCCTGCAGCCCAAATCTGTTTGTTAATTTAACTACTCTGTTTTTGTGCTTGTGTATCACCACTCCTTTAAAGAGTTGGTTCTCAGTGTAGTAACAAAAGTACTTATTTGCTGCCTTTTTCCTTCCTTCTTTCGTCCTTCTTTGTTTCCCTTCCAGCCCACCCAAGGGCTAAATGTAGTTTCTTTGTGTACTGGGGAGTACATTCAAAATGTACTAATTTCTTCAGTTTATGCTTACAGTGTTGCTTTTGGGAGGAAGGATTATATATTTAACATATATGTTTTTAAAATACAGATTGAGTATCCCCTTGCTTCAAACACATGGGACCAAAAGTGTTTCACATTATGTATTCATACATATTTTACCCCCCTAAAAGGTAGGAAAGGTACTATAGACTCTAAACAGTGTTTTGTACTACTTTTTCTCTTGATGATATGTTCTGGAGGTTACTCCTTACTACTTAGCACAATTTGTTCCTTAGAACAGCTGTGTAGTAATCCATTGTATCCATTGCCATAATTTATCCAGTCAGTCTACTAATTCAGTCTTCCCTTTGATCCTAAAGAAACACTGGTATAGGCAAATCTGATGTAGTTAGTATGCTTGAAAATGTTGAAATTTCTTTCTGTATTATATGCTTAAAATTGGTAAACAGGAGTGAAAATTTTCGTGAAATGGATTTTACTCACCTAAGCATCCTGATTTACTTTTTTTTTTTTTTTTTTGAAGGAGGTTTGTTTTTGTTTTTTTGAGACAGGGTCTCACTGTATAGTTCAGGCTGCCCCTGAACTCACTATGTAGCCCAAACTGGCCTCGAACTTGGGGCAAGCCTCCTCCCTCAGCCACCTGAGTGCTGGGATTACGTGCATGTACCACCATGCCTGTCCCTGATTTACTTTTAAACTTGAATCCCTTAAAAAATTTTTTTATGGGGCTGGGGATTTAGCTCAGCAGCACAACACCTGCCTGGCAAGCGCAAGGTCGTGAGTTTCGATTCCCGGTACCGGGAAAAAAAAAATTATTTAGGTTTGTCTTCTTGTCTGGGGGGTTTTGTTTGTTTGGTTTTGTTTGTTTGTTTGTTTGTAGTACTGGGGATTAAACTCAGGGCCTTAACATTGAGCTACATCCTCAGCCCAGGCTGGGTTCAAACTTTATTAGCCTCCTGCCTCAGTCTCCAAGAGGGTTGGGATTATAGGCGTGTGCCACACCTAGTTCAAATTTGAACCATATTTGTTGGAACTGTTTTAAATTTATTACAAACTTTTAGACAATTTTGTTTTGACATAATGGGATACTCCATTATTATATATAATCTGTATTGTATGCTTTCCAGTTTCTCTGTCTTCCTGCAGTGTGAAGTATTTATCTGTCATGGCTGCAGTTTCATATGCCCAAATCATTGCAGTTCTTGTGTGAGTTTTTAATCTCTGGTTTCTTATGCCCTGGGGCATATGTACAGAAAAGTCAAAGTTTATAGGAGTGGCATTACACACTGAGTTTGTAGACTTACAGGGAAATTTTTAAATTGAAAAAACTGCATATCTGCTTTTTGCTGTTGAAATTTTCACAGTGTATGGGTGTGACTGTCCTCTCCTTCATAGCCATCTTTCCTCTTCGCCAGATATTCTGCCTTACTCAGTACGGGTCCTGCTGGAAGCCGCTGTACGCAAGTGTGATGGCTTCTTCGTGAAGAAGGAAGATGTTATGAACATTTTAGACTGGAAAACCAAACAGAGCAATGTGGAAGTGCCCCTTTTCCCTGCCCGAGTTCTTCTTCAAGATTTTACGTGAGTGACGGGTTTCTATTTTATAAGTGAATTTTCAGTGTGTTTGTTTAAAAATTTGGGCTCCCTCATGGATAGATCTGTTTTCTTTTTAAATTTGAAGGTTAGTTTATAAATTTTTTAAAATTAGCATTTCCAAACAGAAGCAATCTGATAAAATTAGGCACTTGATTCTTATGCCATATGTTGAAAACAGCTTTTCCTTATGTCTGTTTGTCATCTCTGTACAGCTACTAGTTTTCTCAAACTTAACTTACCAAACCTTGATTTCTTCATTGCCCACAGCATACAGTGTACTTCTTTCCAACTTTTCTCTGTCATAGTAAATAAATGTCACCATGAAGTCCCATTTATTTAGGCCAAAAATCTAGGAATTAGCCTCAATTCTTCTCTCTACCTAATGTTGTATTAGCAGTCTGTCAACAGATTCTGCCAGTGCTGCCCTGAAATGTATCCTGTGTCTACATACTCCTTTCATCTGCACGACTGTCACCTGGCTCTGGCACCATGTTCTCTCAGCCTGGACTACAGTATTTCTGTCTCTCAGCTGGCATCCTTACATCCACACTTACAGTCTGCAGTCTGCTCTTGATATCAGATGGAATGACTTGGTTATAAAGTGTTTATCAGGTCACCTCATTCCTCCACACGCCATGTGTCTTAATCCAGAGTCTCTTACCACCCAAGAAATCTTCTCTGATGAACATCCAAGGGTTATTTATTTGAATATTGACCCTGAGCTGAGTTTGGGAAGAGGCCGAGGAGTTGGTCAGAAGATCCCCTTCACCCACTACCCAAACTGGGTCTGTGTGCCACTTCACTGTTTATGCTGGTATTATAATACCATACCATGCTCTGATTTATCTTACCAATTTCTTTTTGGCTTTTTGAGACAAAGTCTCAGTATGTAGCCCAGGCTGGCCTCAAATTTGAGGTGGTTCTCCTGTCTCAGCCTATCTCCTGTGGTAGGATCACAGGCCAGTGCCACCATCTGGCTCCTACCAATTTCTTGAGAGCCAGAACTATGTCCTGTTGATCTCATACCATTGATGTCTGGCTTATAGAAGGCCTTGGTGGATGCTTGTTGAATAGTTTTCTGGATATATAGATGCATGAACGTGTGGTGGCAGAAGCTAATAAAGCACTGGGGGAAAGTAGTTGGAGCTGAGGAAAAGGGAGGAGCTATCAAAAAACGGAAGACAGGAGAAAATGCCACAGGATGTTTCCTTGATATTCACTTAGGCCTTCAAACATCACCTCTTTCGTTTCTTCTGGCCCATCCATCCCAAGCACTGGAGTTCTTGTATATTTCATGTTGATTCTCATTGAACTGGTTTACATCTAACTTTTCATAGTAAGGACATCAAAAATGAATACAAGCTACTGGTACCGGAGAAAAACCAAAAAAAAATAAAATAAAATAAAAAATGAATACAAGCTAAAAAGAGATACTTTTAAAAAATAAAAATGAGTAATGAATAAATAATGTTTGGTTTTTTTTGGTTGTTTTTTTTTTTCTTTTTGTGCTTCTGGGGACTGAGTCTAGCCTCTCACACATGCTAGGCAAGTACTGTACCACTGAGCTGATTCGCTAGCACTGTGTTAATTATTTATTAGCATTTATAAAGGCAATCAAAATTGTAATTTTACTGTTCTGTTTGTAGTGGAATACCGGCCATGGTGGACTTTGCTGCTATGAGGGAAGCAGTGAAAACACTTGGAGGTGATCCTGAGAAAGTCCACCCTGCCTGTCCAACAGACCTCACCGTTGACCACTCCCTACAAATTGACTTCAGCAAATGGTACATGAATGCAGATGCTTAACCAAAAGGGCAGAGGTAGCAGCCGCGGAGCCAAGATGCTCTGGAGCCAGAGTAGGGTGTGTTGCTTGCGGCTCACCGGTAGGCACACCTGGTGGGACTGTTTGTGTACTCAATCCAGCTCTAAAGGCACTTTTGGGTCTGCATATTTTTGCTGCCATTTTTGGTGGAAATACATAAGGCTAATACCTGCTTTTTGGGTTCAGTATCTGAATTATGTCTCAGAGAGAATCTAAAGGTTTGTCTTCTAATTGGTGGTTGAAAACACCAATGTCACTACAGCTCCTTTTTCCTTCCACTTATGTTTATAAGATCTCTCTGACCAAGACAGAGCTGAGAATACCTGTTTTGTTGTGGTACATCAGTCTTCATGTTCTCTGGAACAGCAGAATAATATTGCAACTTACTACAGCCTGTGAGAGATTTAACTCTATACTAAAACTATTGGCTTTGTGCCAAATTGTTAAGTGAAAAAAGTTATATTTGTACTTGCTAAAAGTTATTTAAATTGGCATTTTGTGAAAATGATTGTCTTGGGCACCTGAAATTATGTTTTTATAAATTCCATAAATGTGAATTACTTGTATCTTTTTGGGTTTTGTGGGTTTTTTTTTTTGTCTTCTAAAATTTGCTTTTGAGAGCTGAGTTACCTGATTCATATTAGCTTTCAAATACTACTTCCAGATAGTATTGCAGTGTGCATTTTTTGAAGAGCTAAGTTTCTGTCTCTGGTTTGTTTCCTTTTGGGACAATAGTGCGATACAGAATGCACCGAACCCTGGAGGTGGTGAGTTGCCGAAGCCCGGAAAGCTATCTCCCCTCAGAGCACAGCCTAAGAAGCTGCCCTGCAGAGGCCAAGCTGCCTGCCGAGGATCCTGCGACTCTGCAGAGCCAGGCCGCAACTCAGGAACGTTTGCTGCTCAGATTGAGAACACCCCCGTCCTGTGTCCTTTTCATTTGCAACCAGTGCCTGAGTATGAGATGATTTCTGTTAATATTTACTGCTGCCAGGTTTCTTTTCAGTGAGGAAAATCACACTCACTCACCCAGTGCCTTCTGTGTTGCCTTCACATGTATGTCTTCCATTGCATTCTCATTGGTTCTGGGGATTGAACCTTGGGCCTTGCATATGCTGGGCATGCATCCTACCACTGAGCTGTGTCCCTAGCCTCATATTTTTGTATTTATGACTAGTGTGGGCAGGAAAAGGGATTCAGCCAGATATGGTGGTACACACCTGTAATCCTGGTTACTCGGGAAGCCAAGGCAGGACAACTTTAAGTTCAATGCCAGCTTGAGCAATTTAGCAGGATCCTGTCTTAAAACAAAAATAAAAAAGGCTGAGGGTATAGCTCAGTGCAAGGCCCTGGGTTCAGTTTCCAGTACTGCAAAAATAAGTAGGGTCATGTCTTAAGTTGAATTTTTTGTTTTAATGACTTTATGTAAGTACACTGATAAGTAGTCATTCATATTTTTTTGTGAATTCTGTGTGTTTAGCTTTTCTGTCCCTATTAGAGGTTTTTTTTCTCATATTGCATTAAGAGCTCTGTGTTAAGGGTATGATTGTTAACATATGTGTTACAAGCCTTTGAGCTCTTTGAAATAAATAATTTCCTTCATGGTACCATGGAAAGTAGGAAACATGTCTAGAAAAGAATCCAGTTCTTGAGATTCACTTAGATTTCCTAATAGGTAATCTTTCAAAACAAGAAAAAGAGTTCTGCAGCTTGAGTTTCTGTGTTCTATAAAGTTTCCATTGTTTATCTCATTATAAATTATCAAATTTTTTAATTTAAGAAATTACACTTTCAGTTGTAAAAAATTAACACATTTAAGATTTAAAGTAGCTAAGAAATATATCCACAGATAGGTATGCTGAGTGTCAAATACATAATCATTTGTCCCCCAACTGGATCTTTAAAATTCTGTTTCATTTTAGGCTCTGTATCTTTATAAAGCTTCAAGTTGTAGTGGTCTCATGTGCTTTTCTAAGGATTCATTGTGATCAGCAAGTCCTTTGTCATGAAATGATAATGCTTCTATATCATCACTATTCCTGCTTCCTTTTTGCTCTGGTTGTTAAGTTCATGTTGACTTTTGAGATGGATGTCACTTATGTGGAAATTAATTTCTTGAAAAGGAAGACTTACTAATTCCAAGCCACTTACTTCTTTTCAGTTACGATGTACTTATTGATAGATTTTTTTACTTATAAAAATATAATTAACAATGCCTTCAATTTTGACTCTAAATTATAAAGTATAGTCCCTGTTGTGTGAACATAGTAACTCTTTATATTCTTTGCTGCATTAATGATAGGTTCAAACAATACGTTGAAGGGTAAACAGTTGAGAGCTTAACATTTGGCACTGGACATCAAAGGTGGAAGTGAGACTCTATGCTGATGAATGTGTGTGTGGCACTTTAATGTCCGTAAGTGCTATGTACCTGTGAGATTGGGGCAGCTTTGGAAAGCTGTGTTCCCTGAGGCCAGGAGAAAAATCCCACTAAGATTTTTTTTTTTTGAGACAGGGTCTTACTATGTAGTTCAGACTGGCCTTGAACTCACTATGTAGCTTAGGCTGGCCTCAATCTCTCAGCAGTCCTGCCTCTGGAGTGCTGGGATTACAGGTGTTCACTAACGTGCCCAGCTTCCCACTAAGATTTATTGTGGCTTCAAATGATCTCTCAGCCATAAATTATTGAAATACTCTTTGTTTAAAAAAAAGTTGACAAAATAGTTGTTTATATGGACCCCAGAGGACAAATGTAATTTAAGTTATATAAACATCCCTGTCAGCACCGACTGGAAGTTGAAATAAATCACTTAAGGAATTTAAAGTAGGCTAGGCATGGTGGTGCGCACACTTGTAATCTCTGCGAAGCTGAGGCTGTGTGAGTTCAAGGCCAGCCTCAGCTGCAAAATGAGTTTGAGGCCAGTCTGAACTTACACTCAGAAAACCCTCCCAAAAGAATTTAAATAGTTTTTTAAAATATCCATTTGATAAGAGTTCATAAAAATGGCACTATATTTCCTGCTTAATATGTATTTATAATCTATGTAAATTTAGTTGTTATCATAACATAAAATAGAAACTTCCCTTTTGTGTGAGGTGAATAAAAAAGTTTGGGCTAAAGGTTTTTCTTAAACTGTAAAATGATGTTCAGGCAGTATTATTGCCACACAGTGATAATCAACTTTCACTTCAGCTGACACAGAGTGGCAGTGGTTAAGAACATAACATGCGTATTATTCTATAAGCTCCCATCCCATTTCTGTGCAGTGGAAGAACCCAACAAAGCTGCTATCACCATACTTTTACAGTGTTAGTCAAGTCTCATGGTCATGCATTTTAAGTACAGTTTAGGACACTGGTGTGGGTATTGCTTTGTTCTGCCTGGTAAAATAATAACTTCTTCCTATGGCTATCTAGTATGTAACATAAAGCAAAACTTCCCTGCTGAAAAAGAAAATACCTCTGGAAAATCTAGTAAGTGGTTTTTCTAAGGATTTATATTAACTGTTTATGGATGCATAAGAGTTAAGACTGGGAAGAAACAAGGCATCATATACATGCAGCATATTACAATAGTAATAATGCCAGGGTTTTTTCTTCCTCATAGACCTGAAACAGTGTTAAAAAATCAAGAAGTGGAATTTGGCAGAAATCGAGAGAGGCTTCAGTTTTTCAAGGTATAAATGATTTGGGGAAATTTTTGTACTGGCATTTATACAATACTGATAGGTATAATTTTTATAGCTAGCCTAGTGGTGGTGTCCCCCCCACACCTCCCAAGATTGAACCCCAGACTTCTTACATGTTAGGCAAGCACTCTAACACTGAGCTGCATCCCCAGCACTTTTTATTTTAAGATGGGCTTACCAAAGTACACCAGGTTGGCCTGTATTTGCAGCCCTCCTGCCTCAGTTTCCCAAGTAGCTGGGATTACATGTTTGTACCATTATCCACTGCTAGATTAGGGATTTTTAAAGGCTTCATGGTAGTAGAACCCTGTCATTTTTTCTCATACAATCAGGTTCCAAAATCTTATTGGAAATGAGCCTATAGAAACGATAAACACAGTGGTCCCATTCAAGTGAGTTGAACAGGGCCTTGTGCATAGGCCTCCTCCCTTCTCCCTGATAGTCTTGGCAGCACCACCTGGTACTGCCATTTATCTGGATTGTTAGGGTATTATTCTTTGACCTAACTTAATTTACTTTTAATAATCTATAAAATGAATATGTGAGTTCTGCATCTGCATATTTTTTCTAGCATATAATGTAAACTTTGAATTGACCATGTTAACATATTTTTAGTGTCTATATTGATTTGTCTTTATTATGAATTGAGAGTCAAAATGTACTAATACTTGGATTTCTTAAATCTAAACAAAACATAGTGGAGTTCAAGAGTCTTTAATAACGTGGCTGTGGTCCCTCCGGGAACGGGAACGGCTCATCAGGTGAACTTGGAGTATCTGTCCCGAGTGGTCTGTGCAGAGAAGGACCTCCTCTTCCCAGACAGTGTGGTTGGCACAGACTCTCACATAACCATGGTGAATGGTTTAGGAATTCTTGGATGGGGTAAGTGGCAGAGGGATAGGATTTCTTTCTGTGAAGCGATGTTAGGAGCTTTATCAAAGAACAAGTTGGTCTTGACAGTCTCTCTGAGGCTTTATTTTTTCATGAGACCTGCAGCAGCTTTGCTGCCTTAGGAATCCAGTTCCTCTGGGATTCCTTTGTTTTATTCCAAGCCTTTTCAGCCTGCTACCGCCTCAGCTATTCACCCCCACCCACCCTACAGATGGGGTAGATTTCAAAACATCCAGGATAGGCTCTGCTCTTCAGTCCTTTGCAGCTTTGGTAACATCCCTGTTACCTGGTGAAATATAGATGCTCTTCCTTCCTACTTCTACAGTAAAGCTCAGTTGTTTCCTGAAAGCCTTCACTTCTCTCACTGAGTTGATTATACCACCGTATTTCTTTGTGGTTTTTTGGTTTGTGTTTTTTTTTTTTTTTCATTAGACTGAGCTTTTGTTTGTGTTTTGGGGTGCATGAGAGATTTAACTCAGGCCGTTCACACTGGGCTGTATTCCCAGCCCTTTTTCTTTTTGTATTTTGAGATAGGGTCTTGCTAACTTGCCAAAGCTGGGCTCAAACTTGCAATCCTGTGCCTCAGCTTCCTAGCGTGCTGGGATTACAGGTGTGCGCCACTATGCCCAGCTATACTGAGCTTCTTAAGGTTGACAGAGACTGAGTTGAACTCATATCTGTGTCTTGAGTGTAGTACAATGCCTAACATACTGAACATTTATGTATTTATATTAAATATAAATATTATAGCCTGGCATGATGAGGCAGGAGGATGACTGCATTCAAGGCCAGCCTGGCTACATAGTTTAAGGCTTGTCTGAACTATATAGTGAGATCTTGTCTCAAAAAATAGCAAACAAAAATTATACTTATATATTAAATATAATATAAAGGTAAAAATATCAGTGTTTTCAGCCATGCGGGTGGAGTCATTATTTTGAGTGAGTTTGGCAGTAAGGTCTACAGGAATGGCAACAAAGCAACTGTTTATGAGATACTGTGCAAGTCAGGCTCACAGAACAACTGGAGAATAAGATATTACAGAGCTGATGGGCAAGTGGTGTACACGTAGCCCCAGCACTCAAGAGGCTGAGGTAGGATTGCCTGGGCTACATAGTGAGTTCAAAGTCAGTCTGAACTACGTAGTGAGACCCTGTCTAAAAAAGCAAAAAGTTACAAGGCTAACTTATGTTACCTTTAACTGTACTCTGCTAATATCTCTGTTCTTATTCCAGGAGTTGGAGGCATTGAGACAGAAGCAGTTATGCTGGGTCTGCCAGTTTCTCTTACTTTACCAGAGGTGGTTGGGTGTGAATTAACAGGGTCATCCAACCCTCTTGCTACGTCTATAGATGTTGTTCTTGGCATCACAAAGGTGCGTTGGAGTTACCACTGTCTGATTTAGTAGTAAACATCATTTTTGCGTAAGTAGAGTAGGATTGTGGTTCATCCCTCCCTCCTTAGGGCTCATGGTATTAGCCACATCATCATAGTTCGTGTCAGAGGAATAACAACAAACAACGTTTAGTTTGTAAATACGGAAAAAACTCACTTATTCCTTATTACAAGTCCCTAAAATTGTTACTCTAATTTTTTTATTTTTGTTTGTGTGGAGACACTGGTGGTTGAATCGAAGGGCTATACCCATTTTTTAAGTTTGTATTTTGAGGTAAGTCTTGCTAAATTGCCTAGGCTGGGCTTGAACTTGGAGTCCTCCTGGCTCAGCCTCCCAGAGTGCTAGGATTATAGCTGTGCATGACCATGTCCTGGCTCTTATTTTAATTCTGAAAAAATTGTAACACTTGAGCTTTAATTCCAAAGGGTCCTAGGACTAAATGGCTTAGTGGTAGAACAGGGTTTCTGAAGCAGGCAATGAAGATACTATGCCTGTGCTCTTAACTGTTACATACTACTGCTTCAGTAAATACCTGCTCACTACATGAACTTTAGCAAGTCTCTTTACTTCTCCTTTAGTGTTTAATTATTTGCCCTTTAGGAACTATTATTCTACTAAGTAATTACTTCAAAATACGAACTCTAAGGCTGGATGTAGTGGTGCCTGCCTGTAATATCAGCACTCAACCCTGAGACAGGAGGATTGCCTCAAGTTCGAAGTCAGCCTGAATTATGTAACAAGGTCTTACCTCAAAAAAAAGATTTTAGAAATGTGACAGTGTCAAATTTCTGTTGGCTGCTTTCACATTCCTTGGATTAAGTCCTATTTTTTTATATGCTTGCATCTGGAAAATACTACATGTATAATTGCACTTTGGACCCCAGTGTCTTGGCATCTTGGTTAAATTACTGGTCTGAAAGTTTTTAGGGTACTCCAAAGGGAAGGAAAATGTTAATGCCTCATTCTCTGCAGTTAGTATTGGTTCTTCTTCCCTATTTAGAGAATAATTTGGCCACTTAGGGAAATGATTGATTCAGTGGATCGTACCAAAGATCAAGTAAGTTGAGAATTGCAGCATTATTCCTAAAGGAAGAGGAATATCCTGTTTTGATTTTAGAGAAATCAATTCTTCAGGCATCCTGAAAATTAATGCTGCTTTTTTTAGACCTTTCTGGCTGTTTTTTTTTTTCCTTAGCAGTAATACTATGTGTGTGTGTTTTGACATTTTAGCTTGTTAGAAACATTTAGCCTATTATGTTATATTTACACTTTCGAATTTTTTTTGAGGCTCTGATCTGTTCATTATCTTTATAGGATTAATCACATACTGTTTTCCCAAATACATTTTGTGGTACCTTAATAATTTGATGAAGGCAGCATTTGGCTTAGTATGTCTAATCTGTGTTTCTCTTATCCTCAGAAGTGTTAATAAATGTCTTTAAAGTTTTGAGTTTCCACAGCTATTGAGAGACAGAGTGAGAGCATGCAAGCTTGGGTTAAGAGCACCTTTACAGTGTTAGGAGTTAACATTATTCATAGGTTGAGGGCTAGGTCACTCGTAGCCTTATCCTGGGCACTCTTTTCAGGCCCATCTGAAACCACTTCACAATTCAGGAAAGAGGAGTAGTTGTGGTACTTAATGGGCAGTAAATAAGAAGAACGATTTTAGAAAGAAGTGTGAAACAACATGCTAAATCCTGCCAAAATGGAATTTATATATAAGTAATGATGCTGTAAGTATTTGAGTTAGTAGCTGTGATTTGAAGAGTTGTTATACCCAACGCATAGTTTTAACTTACATAGTCTCATCAGTGTATTAGTATTGCATATCATTAAATCCAAGAGACCACGGCTAGTTGGAAGCACTGTTTCATGTGCTGCTAAAAAAGAGAAAGGGCTCCCAGCTAAACAGACTGTACTCAAAGATCCCCTGGTTCCAGAGGCAGTAACATGGAACAGCAGCCATCTGGAGCTTTGGGCCCTTTCTTACCTTACTGAACAATGACATTGTTTCCCATGAACCATGAAGTCCTCCGCTCCCTCGATGTCACTAGTATTGGTTGGAAATTGGGTTTTATAGTTTTCAGGAAATCCATGCTAATCTTAACCTTGCTAATTTTGTTTGTATTTCTGTGTATCCCTTCATATAGCACCTCAGGCAAGTAGGAGTGGCTGGAAAGTTTGTAGAGTTTTTTGGAAGTGGAGTTTCACAATTATCTATTGTTGATAGAACTACAATTGCAAACATGTGTCCAGAATATGGTGCTATCCTCAGCTTTTTCCCTGTTGACAATGTGACATTAAAACATTTAGAACATACAGGTAAGAGGGTGTAGGGTATAAGATCATCTGAAGAAACATGTTACATTTCTAATGTGTCTTCCTGACAATATTTTATAGTAAATTATCTCATACATGTTGTTTAATATTAATGAGATGATACCATTTTGAAAGTGTCTCTCAAACTGTAAAGAGTTTATGTCCTTGAGGGGGCTGGGGGCTTAGCTCAGCGGCACAGCGCCTGCCTGGCAAGTGCAAGGTCGTGAGTTTGATTCTCAGTACCGGAAAAAAACTAAAAAAAAAAGAGTTTATGTCCTTGAAACATAGGACCCTGTGATCCATTGACAGTGATTTAAAGGAATTATTGATGCTGTTACTAGTTTGCCTGGGTCCTTGCTGTAATGATCATGAAAATCAAAACTGAAGCAACAGTATGAATTTACAGGAAAAAGCTTTAATTAAAAAGTAAAAAAAAAAAATGAAGGGGAGCATAGCTGTAACAAAGATGGGATCAGTCCCCTATAAAGGAACTTAAAGATAGGTAAAGGCTTCAGTCTGAAGAGGTGGAGCAGACCAGCTCTTCACAGAGGTGTGGACAGTAGTTATATGGGTGCCACTGGGGCCTGCTGATTATTAACTCTGTCCTGGTGGCACAGCTCCTGAGGAACCCATTTATCTTGAAGGGCAGTACGGTCCCCAGGAGTGGTCCTTCCTGCGGGCTGTCTGTCTCTGAGGTTGTACTGTCTCTAAGGCAGCATCAGTTTAGGGCTAATCATCCTTGTTTTGCCAACTTTTCCTAAGTGATTAACATCCTGTAACCAAAGTTTTAAGGTAATAAAGGATACATAAAATGAAGGTCAAACTTCCTTTAGTTAGCTATTGGAATTCTGTAGGTTCAAATAAAGAGTTCTTAGTTTTTAGCAAAAAAAATAACTTTCAAATCCCTTTTTGCTTCAAAACATAAATCATGCTTTTAGTGACAGCTTAGGGGCCCAGGAGTGAGTTTGTCTTCTCTCCTTGTGCTAGTCTCTAAGAACTGCCTACTTGGTCTCACTTCCCCACTCCTGCTCAGGGGTCAGAGGCTCCACTGTCACAGAGTCAGCCTGGAGCACTTCACACTCCATAGCTGGAATGGAGGAACCAGACAAGAGTGTGGGAATTGGAGCTCTTGCAAGGAACAAGAAACAAAGAATGTAGTGAAAGCAGCATAGGATAACAGGTTCCACATCATTTTGTAGCCTCATTAACTAGGATCCTTGATCAGTCTTCCATTGACTGTTTAAAATACAAACTACCTGCAAACCAGAATGTGTTGATGTTTGTTTGTTTGTTTATTTATTTTGAGGGGGTGGTATGGGAGATTGAACCCCAGGTCTTTGCACTGAGCTATACCCCAGGTCTCTTTCAATTTTTTATTTTGGGACAGGGTCTCTCTGACTCACTAAACTGCCCAGCATGGGCTTGAACATTTGATCCCCCTGCATCAGCCTCTCTGAGTGTTAGGATTACAGGTGTCACTGCACCAGCTAGAATGTGTTGATGTTTCATAAGGCTGACTGTTCTTTAAAAAGTAGATCTCTGAGCAGGCGTGATGGTGCATGCTTTTAAACCCAGCACTTAGGGAGATTTAGGCAGGAAGATACGTTTGAGTCTGTCCTGAGTGACTTAGCAAGTGCCTGTCTCAAAATACTAAAAAAGAGCTGAGCATGTAGTCCATTATGAAGACCCAGTGTTCAGTGCCCAGTACAACCAAAAAAAGTCAACCTCTGTTACTCTTTGTCCTTTATTTCTGTGAACAGATCATTTGTGAGCTGCTTCTCTAATTAAAGGTATATTGGGGGCGTTTGATATTCTTCAGTTTGGGGGTACACTATCATAAACAAATTAAATAGCAAATGAGTGATGGGCATAGGAAACCCTGGGAGGAATGGGGCCCCCCCAAGAGATGGAAAACTTTCTTGCGTTTGGATTTTTTTTTTCTTTTTGGTACCAGGAATTGAACTCAGGTCCTGTGCTTGCCAGATAGGCGCTGTGCCACTGAGCTGTGTCCCCAGCCCTTGTGTTTGGATTTTGACTGGTGGAATAGTGGAGAGATAAATGGTTACAGGTGCATCTTGATTCAGATGTTAATCTGAATAGGGTATCAGTGATCTGTTACCATGTAGCAAATTATCCTAAAATTTAGTGGCTTAGAATAGCCATCATGCGATTTCAGTGAGTCACTCACACAAGGCACAGAGGGACAGCATGTTTCTGTGACATGTCTCGGGCCTGTACTACAAGGCTAGAAAGGCAGGGCCTGGAATTCTGAAGACTAGAAGTGAATGCTGACCATCACGTGGGGACACAGCTGGGGCTGTCAGCACACCCACGTGTGCCACTGTGGTATCTGAAAGCCTGGGTTTTTTCAGATGTGGTTTCTCGGGCGGAGATGGATGGGGAGAGACGGCGAGTGTAAATCTGTGTTTGTTTGTTCCTCATTGTGAGAATTTTGCACCTTTACCCTCAAGACTTCAGAATTTCTTACTAGATTTTGTTGTTCCTTCTTTTTAGGTTTTGACAAAGCCAAACTCAAGTCAGTGGAAACATACCTTAAAGCTGTGAAATTACTCAGAAATGACCAGAATTCTTCAGAACCTGAATACTCCCAGGTATATGAAAATAACCCTATTAGTAGGAGTTAGAAGTATAAACTCTGCTGACCACTTGAATTTGAATTTTAGCTCTAAGGTTTATTAACTGTAAAACTGGGGGCAATTTATTTAGCTTTTCTGTCTCAGTTTCCTTATCTCTAAAATATAATGATAATATCTACTGCACAGGACTCCTTAATTTGTTACTTTTGAGACTGGGTCTTACTGTGTAGGCCAGGCTGGCCTTGAACTCACTATGTAGCCGAGGATGGTCTCAGATTTGTGGCAGTCCTCCTGCCTCATCTCCTTGAATATTGGGATTACAGGTGTGCAGTGCCATCCTTGGCTAGAATTTGTAATTCTTAGATTAGAAATAAGTTGATAGAAATGTTCCAGGTACTCAGAAGGTGTGATTGAAAAATAAGGTATGTGTGTAAATTTTTAAAAACCACTAATCCTCCTCAGAACACTCCCCCTCACTTTGAACACATTTGTCTCTCATTTTTGCCACTTTTTTTTTTTTTTTTTGAGATGGTTTTGCTGTGCAGTTCAGGCTGCCTTTGAATTCAATATGTAACCCAGGCTGGCCTTGAATTCGTGGTGATCCTCCTGCCTCAGCCTCCTGAGTGCTGCAATTACAGGCATGCACTACCATGTCTGGCTGTGCCTTGCCACTTTCTGAAGCAGTTCTGGAAGTCCTTTCCTGAGTGTCTTTAGGTGCACGGTGATAACTGCCACAGTGTCCTGAATCCATTCAGAATGTTTACCTGTCATGGTCATTTTGACTTCGGGGAAGAGGCAGAAACCACACAGTGCCTTATCTAGTGAATATGGTGGATAAGGATGCACTGTAATGTTTTTCCAGGAGATGTTTTAGATCCATACAAGGGTATACAAGACCAAGGAAAGAACAGTAGCTGGCACTGAGTAGATATTCTTGAAGGCCTGTGTAGGGCACACAGTAGTTGAATTTGTATGACACTTTGGGCAGATTTTTTACATTTTCTTCTGATTCCTTTGACTTTCATTGACTCCAGTGCTTTGTTTACATTTTTTAAAAAGGATAAGATGGAAAGAAAAATTAAGTGGAAAAATTGGGTTGTTAGAGTAAAATGAAATAAATTTGCCTGTTTAAAAAACCATGACTGGGCCAGGGATGTAGCACCTGCCTGGCAAGTGTGAAGTCCTGAGTTAGATTTCTGGTACCCCTCAGAAAATGACCATGTTAAAGAATAAAATTAAAATTCTTCAGGTGTTTATTTCTATTTTTTTTTTTTTTTTTTTTTTGGTTTTTCTCCTGTACCGGGAACCAAACTCATGACCTTGCGCTTGCCAGGCAGGCACTTTTGCCGCTGAGCTAAATCCCCAGCCCCTCAGGTGTTTATTTCTAAAGAAACTCCTTAATCTACCCTTAGGTAGTAGATCACCTGAATTCATTACATAACAATGGGAGGAAAGTAGGATCAGTTAGAATAAACGGGGCTATTCAATAATGACGGAAGCTATGAGACAGACAAAGTTTTAAATTGGTTATACTCACATAAAATAGATGAAGGAAATAGTAAAAGTAAATAGAAAACTAGTTGAGAAGTGAGATTTTTAACAAAGCAATCATGCCTAAACCAAAGAACAAAATCCTGGTCAGCTGGAAAGAGCCTGCCAGGAAGACCTAGAGTCACAAAAGGAGCCCCTTCTCTGCTGTGTCCTGTAGCACCCTCTATTGACCAGGCTTCCTGTCCTGCAAGCTGACAAAGGAAAAATACTCACTAAGCCTTATCTCCATGATCTGAAAGCAAAGGAAGGTTTAACCTGAAGCTCAGAAGCAGTAAGTCTATAGCCAGCACAAGGTTAGTCACTGGACAACTGTTACAATGATGTTGATGTTTATGGGTAGAAAAAGCATTTAGGGAACCACCTTTTTAAAAACAGGATCTACTAAGGTACCAAGCTGGTCTCACACTTGCAGACCTCATGCCTCAGCTTCCTGAGTAGCTGGGATTATAGGCATGTGCCACCATGCATGCCTGGAACAGTTTTATATAGATTATACGGTTCGTGTTGCAGAAGTTTGGTTATATACTAATGTCTTAGTCTTGCTTGTAGTAGATTGTTTTTTGTGTGCATCATAAATTTAAATAGACTTATTTTATAGTAGTTCTAAAGTCAGAAACAAAACAAAAAAAAATTCTAGGGGAAGGTTTCGTTATTAAAATAAATAACATTTAAATAAACATAAATATACTTATTCTGCTTCCCAAAGCAATGCCTGAGTTGGAATTTGTACTTAGGATCTCAGTTGCTATTGTTTCCTTTTTCTGTTGTCATAGGTGATCCAGATTAACCTGAGTTCAATAGTTCCATCTGTCAGTGGTCCCAAGAGACCCCAGGATAGAGTTGCTGTGACAGATATGAAAAGTGATTTCCAGGCTTGCTTAAGTGAAAAGGTAACTTAGTTTATTGTCACTTCTTTGTGTCACCAGGCTTTGTGCTCTGTAGTAAAGAACCACAGGTTTATAATATTGACCTGCAACTGACCTACATCTTTTGGTTTGGTTTAGTTTTTTTGAGACAGGTCTTGCTGTGTACTTCACCTTCAGCTTGCTGGCCTTGATCTCAAGTATATAGCCATGGCTGGCATGTTGGCATGCACTACCTTGACTGGCCCACTTTTTTACTTTTTTTTTTTGTACCGAGGGCCTCACTGTAAATCTCAGGCTGGACTCGAACATGCCACAGCTGCCCTTGCTGGGACTGTAGGTGCATGCCACTGCCTCCAGCTGTTTGTGTGCTTTATATTGTGGCACACACTGGTACAATGATGTTGATGTTTGTGGGGGAAAAGGGGCCTCTCTTTTGCCTTCTGTCTGATGTGTCAGTTATTCCATGAGCTGGTTCCCAGCTCCACTGTGAAGGTCAGAGGTTGACCGTTTGTTTAAATTAAAATTTAAAAGTTCAGCATTGAGTTTTAGTCCCAGTCATATCATTTGAAGTTCTGAACAGCCACATACAGCTGTGGTTCCTGGATCAGACAGCATAGATGATAGATATGTACAACTTCATGAAAAGGGGTTGTGGAGAGCACTTTGCTGGACGTGGCAGCTTCCCAGAGCAGGGAAAACTATTGCACTGTGTAATTGTGCTCTTAGCCGTCTGGTAAAATGAAACTGCCAAACAGGTGACTCCTTTGGCTCTGGAGGTTTGTATTTTCTGTCCTAGAATCGCAGCTTAAATCTTGTCACCTTTTCTGTTGTGAGAAGTAGGATTTGGTTTTTCAGAGCTTTTTTATCATTTCTTGACTTTTATTTGGGAAATGTTAAATTTCTACAGAAGTAAAATCGTGCAGTGAGTTGACACATGCCCGTCCCACAGCTTCCACAGAGAGTGACCTGTAGTTGGTCTGGTCTCATCCTGCTGCATGCATACATGATAGTTTCCAGCAAATCTTCGGAACAGTTTTTGCCCACTCTTGAAAATCACTGTGAGCAGAAATGGATAGAGAACAACTGAGAGAAATAGGATCTAGGTTTGGATGGCTGGATTCACAGGGTGAAGAGAAGCTTTGTTTGTGGACACCACCAGACTCTTGTCATGGCTGCTCAGTCAGGCTTCAGCTGACTTAGAACTACTTAGTGTTACGGAATTGGATGTCACAAACAGGACTGTGAGTGTTACATCATCAGGCAGCTGCTGTGTTTCCTAAGTCTTTTTTTCTGTACTAATCCATAATATTTACCTTACGTTTATGTGCAAATTTTCATAGGTTGGATTTAAAGGATTCCAAATCGCAGCTGAAAAGCAAAATGATACCATCTCCATCCGTTATGAAGGACGAGACTACCAGTTGACTCATGGGTCTGTGGTCATCGCTGCGGTCATCAGTTGCACCAATAACTGTAATCCATCCGTCATGCTCGCTGCAGGTGGGCTATGGCCTGTAGCCAGGCTTTTTTGTCCTAATGTTTTTTTCTGTTATTTTCACTGTCTTTTTCTTAGGTAATACATGAGTATCCATGTCTGTGTTTGTATTAACTAGGTGAATTTTGTTTTATTACAAGATAACTTTTTGTAACTGCATCTCGCATGTCTAATAACTTTAGGTTGTATATTTCTTCTGTTAATTTAAAAGTATAGTCAATTAGCAAGTATTTTCTGGATTTCTACAAGTTTACCATCACATTGTGCTAGAGTCCACAGAGAATTGTAAAAGAGTCAAAAGATTATCAACAAGAACTATGAAGGAAATCGGTTCACCTGGACATTGGAAGAGTTCTTCTGTTGCATAAAACCGTATAGTAAATGTCCCATATCCCTTAGTTTATTATTATAGGACTTAGAAATCGTTCATCCTTTTAGTGTACCTGATGCCATATCATCAAATTATTCCTTAATAATTTACAGCATGATGGCTAGTATGTCTGATCCCTTTTTTTGCCTATTAGAGATTGAAACCCAGTGCTGTACTAATGAGCTGTTGCTAATCCTGTTTTGTTGTTGTTGTTTATAAATTTTGAGATAGGGTCTCACTAAGTTACCCAGGCTGGCCTTGAACATGCTTATCTTCCTGCCTCAGTCTCCCAAGTAGCTGAGATTACAAATATGCACTGCTATGTCCAGCTGTCACGGATTTTGATTTATTTTAAATGAAGTAAATCAGAATAAAATGGACAAAATAATGATAGTAAACTTCGGAATATGTGCCTTTGGACTCAGTCTTTCTTCCTACTCTAATATGAGAAAGGGAAAGACATACTGCTATAAAAAAGGAAATTGTTCGTTCTCTGTGCAGGTCTTTTGGCCAAGAAGGCTGTTGAAGCTGGTCTGTGCGTTAAACCTTACATAAGAACGAGTTTATCTCCAGGCAGTGGGATGGTCACTCATTACCTCAGCTCAAGTGGAGTGTTGCCATATCTTAGCAAGCTAGGGTAAGTGACAGGTACCAGTATTTGCACTGACTTTGGAGCATGGCCTTTCACATATGTAAAACAGATGAAAAGAAAAATATGCTATGATTCCACTCAGTACCTTACCGCTGCCACAGGCTCTGAGACTGCATATAAGCAGATATTTCTCTGGCAAAACTAAACAGTAGGGCTCCAACAGGCTCTTTAAATGCAGAGCATCTTGTGATCTCTAGCCTGTGGGCACTGAGGTGGCAAGAGACACACCAGGGCAAGGATAGAAAGAGTGGTGGTGCCGTTACACGGGATTCCCACATGTGATACGCAGTTCAAAAAAGAATAAACTCATAGCCTGCATTTAGTAACCAAGTGAATTGTCTTCACGGAGGGTTTGTGAGATTATTGGGTCTCTGACACGTTAGTGTTGTCCCTGAGTGTTGGAGAAAATGACTTTTCCATTTCTTATGTGATCAGAATAAAATTGATGCTAGTTGTGTTTTCAGTGTATGTTTTGAAATATTTTGCTTATATAAATTGTATTTTTTTCGTACATAAATTCTAGATTTTCTGCTTTTAGAGCAGTAACTGAGAGTAATTTAGGGAATTATGCTTGTGATACAACTTTAAGTTACACCACCGCAAAATTACTGTCAGGGATTCTTCTTAGATTGATTTGACTGCAAATTGAAAGATTTACTCCTATCAGAGCATGTAGTTGCCTCATTAGACCTCTGGTAAAATTGTTGTAGCCAGGTAATCTTGATGTTTTACAGTTTCAGCAAACTCTGAGGATGGAAGTAGTGATTTGTTTTTTTAAACATTATATTACTTTCCCACCAGGTAGTACTTGAGTTTTCTTTTGTACAGTGACAGGTGCTATTGACTTAACGGTAGAGCGTGAAATATCAATGTTTCTGAGAGGTTTGCTGCATTCAGCAAGAGGGCCATGCCCAAGAGCAACCTGATTGTTCAAAACACTGTAGAGTTAATGTATTGGTGAGGGTTACTCCTTGTACCATGATTATTGCTAGAGATAGAAATGCAAGATAAGCCTTGTCTTTTCATTACAAATGCAATGTGTTCTCTAGTCACGTTTCATGTTTTAAAATGCAGATTTGAAATCGTTGGCTATGGATGTTCAACATGTGTGGGCAATACAGCACCCTTATCAGAAGCAGTTTTAAATGCAGTAAAACAGGTAAAACATACCTGTGTGGGTTTTTTTAATTGTCCTTTTACTAAATTATTGAAAATATATTGATGTGTTTATATTTCTGTTGTCTCTACACCTGTTTGGAAGAGTAACCTGTGAATCTTAAAAGGATTCCAAGAATTTTTTTTTTTTTTTTTTTTTGGTGGTACTGGAAGGTTAAACCAGGGCTTTTTTGTACTGAGCCACATTCCCTAGTCCTATTTTATCTTTTTTATTTCTGTGAAAGGGTCTCGCTAAATTGCTAAGCTTTTCAGGCTAGGCTGGAAATTGCCAGTCTTTCTACCTAATCCTCCCAGAGTGCTAGGATTCCGGATGTTTGCCACCATGCCATTCTTCATTTCTAGATTTTTAAAATATGTCCTTGGTAATATGAAGACTTTTTAAGAGTTTCTTTGTAGGCTTTATAGTGATACATTTTTTGGTTGTCTTGCCTTCAGAACTGTAATATAGGGCTGGGGATTTAGCTCAGTGGCAAAAGTGCCTGGCATGTGCAAGGTCGTGAGTTCGGTTCCCGGTACCGGAGAAAAACCAAAAACCAAAAACCAAAAACCAAAAAAAAAAGAACTGTAATATAGCCAGGCATAGTGGTGCGCCGCTATAATCCCTGCACTCAGGAGGCTGAGGCAGGAGAATCGCTGCAAGTTCAAGGCCAGCCTGGGCTACAAAGTGAGTTCAAGGCCAGTCTGAACTGTGTAGTGAGACCCTGTCTCAGAAAGAAAGAAAGAAAAAGCTGTAACATATGATTGCTTTTATGATCGTCTTGAATTGAATGTATTTGTATGGTTATGTTTTTTCAGGGTGATTTGGTTACCTGTGGAGTTTTATCTGGAAACAAAAATTTTGAAGGTCGTCTTTGTGATTGTGTTCGTGCCAATTATCTTGCCTCTCCACCCTTAGTGGTGGCTTATGCCATAGCAGGCACAGTGAACATAGATTTCCAGACAGAACCTTTAGGTATGTTTTCCTGTGTGTGTGTGTATGTGCGCACATGTGCACTTTTCCTCCTAGAAGTTATTTTTTAAGTGTTTTTGAGATGATCCATTATTAAATTTGTATTACAAAATTTATAATGATGCATAATCATTGTTTTTTGTGTATGTCTGAAGAATATAAAATGTGCTGCAGATTATTCTTTAGCTGCTTAAGCTTGAAGCACCCTGTTGTTGAATTATTTATTACTTACCACATTAATATCTTTTAACCAGGTACTGATCCTACTGGCAAGAACATTTACCTACATGATATTTGGCCCACTAGAGAAGAAGTTCATCAGATAGAGGAAGAACATGTTGTAATATCCATGTTTAAAACACTAAAGGAGAAGATAGAAGTAAGGATCTTCTTTCTGTCTTTCTTTCTTTCTTTCTTTCTTTCTTTCTTTCTTTCTTTCTTTCTTTCTTAGCTTAGTAAAGCCGTAGTGTATTATATTTCATGCATCTTGCTTGCTGAATAGAACACAAATTTAAATTACATTAATTTGAATATGTAGTGTTTAATGAGTGATGGTCAGCTTGTATCTGGAATTGCTAGTTACAAAGAGAATGGGTTAGATACTGGAATTGATTCTACTTACTTACTGGAAATGCCTAGCCACCACTTATACTTGGCATCCTAAATGAGGGCACAGTTCACGGAAACAACTGGTTGTCACTCCCATTCACATGGCTCAGAATTCAAAAGAAACAAGTAGACAATGACATTGTGCTTTCGCTGATTCCCTAACCATCTCTTTGCTTCTCTAGAGTAAACTGTAATACCTTTTTAAAGCATATTTTTAGAGATACTTCCACACACATATGTGATACATATATACAGACTTTTATTTTAAAAAGTAATATAGCTGTGCATGGTGGCACACACCTATAATCCCAGCACTTGGGAGGCTGAGGCAGAAGGATCCTTGTGAGTTTGAGGCCAGCCTGAACTGCATAATGAGACGCTGTCTCAAAAAGACAAAAAAAAAAAAGAAAAGCAATATAAATGTGATGGCAGAAAAAGCAGTTACTTGACAAATCTTTGCTGAATCCATGAGCCAGGTGCTCTTCTAGGCGCTTCTTGGTTTGTTGCTTTGTTTTTATTTTGGGCACTGAGGATTGAACCCAGGGCCTTCACACTGTTACATCTGTGGCCCTTTTAATTTTCTGTTTTGAGACAGGGTTTTACTGAGTTGTCCAGGCTGGGCTTGAATTTGATCCTTCTGCTTCACCTTCCTAGAGTGCTGTGATTGTGGGCCTGCCCAGCTCATGTTAGATGTTTGATACACATCAATGCACAAAACAGAATTGTTATGGGGAGAAACTGTGACTTATAAGGAAAATAATTAGGTTAACTGCACATTTTGTTGGAAGTAATAAGATCTATAGAAAACAAAATTTGGGGGGAAAAAAATAAAGGAAAAATAAGTTTTGGTAATAAGGGTTAATTGTGCAAAATTTTGAGAGCAGATTGTAGTGGGTTGAATGAGCTCGCAGGTTGTCAGGAGGGAGTCTTTGTGGATGTGATGTCACTCAGGAATCAGCAATAAGGGTGTGTGGGACAGGACGCTGGGGGCGAAGACGGAGGTCCAGATGGCTAGGGATACCCGAGTCAGGCGAGAAGGGGAGCTGTGGGAAGATCACTCTGGTTTTATATTCAGGATACTGGAGGGGTAGTAAAGGGTGGGTTGGGAAGGCCAAATGAAGAGGTCACAAGCATGAGAGGTTTTGATGGAGTGGACCAGGGTAGTAGCAGTGGTGGTGATTAAGAAAGCAGTGAGATTTGGGTTGTAGTTGAAAGGCAGAACCAATAGGCAATGATGTGGGACAGATATATTTTTAAAAAGATGAAAGTTTTTCTTTGTGATAGTATTCCTGAAGATGACTAGCCTACCTCACAACATGTACAGAGATCTTTTAACATGCTGTAGCTTGGCTTTGTTTTGACTCTGTAAAGAAGTTTGTATGTTCCATTTGTATTGAAACTTAGCTTAGTGTTCCTAAAATCTGGTGAGCTAAAATTTATTTGTCCCAAAAAAGGCATGATTTTATAGAATGCACTATTTTAGCTTTGTAAATGGTAAGGGTTTTGTTTTTTTTTTATTTTCCAGTCTGTTTATAAGCCTCTCTCTCCTTTTATCTTTTTTTTTTTTTCTTTAAATTCATCAACAAAAACCATTATTCACAGATTGGAAATAAATGGTGGAATTCCTTAGAAGCACCAGACTCAGTTTTGTTTCCATGGGACTTAAAGTCTACTTACATCAGATGTCCTTCATTTTTTGATAAACTTGTAAGTAGTTTTAATGTTTGCCCTTATTAAGGTTATTGTAGACTGAAAAACCTTGTGAAGAGTTAAATGCTTTAACCTTTATTTTGTAGACCAAAGAGCCGGTTGCACTCCAGCCCATTGAAAATGCCCATGTCTTGCTACACTTGGGAGATTCTGTTACAACAGATCACATATCACCTGCTGGAAGCATCGCTAGGAGTAGTGCTGCAGCCAGATATTTAACAAACAGAGGGTATGTATATGTGTTTTTGAGGCAGTCTTGCTTTTCTAATTAAGAGTCTTCTGCTTCCGGTCATGTTGCTTTATCCAGTAAATAAATGCTATCTTAGATGCCGGATTGTTAGTATATAGATATTCGTTGTTGTACAGTTCTGTACATGTTGCTTGTAGAGCCTTAATGCCTTTTTTTGTACAGTATACCTTGTTTACATAGTACTGTAATTTTTGCTGATTATACCGTATAGTACAGTTTGTAGTTCGCTGTTATACATTATAGTACTGCATGGAAGAGTTACACAAATAAAAGCAAAGTCATCAAGTTGGAGTTTCCTTTGTTCTGAATATTGTAATGTGCATACTGTATTCAATTCCTCATTTAGCAACCAACTAGGTTAGAACCTAGTTGCAGGAACAAAACATGGTCATTAAATGAGGCATGTCTGTTGACTTGAGCCAGAACCTGAGCACCTACATTAGTCTTGTTTTGTAACTGTAGCAACTGAGGTTGCTATTTTATATTGAGCCTTACAGTCTAAACAGACAACTGATTAGAGACAAGGTTATTCTTTTTCAGTGCTACATTGTTGAAAAATCAGCTTTGATACACCAAATGAAGTCTAGTCACTGGGTTCTAACTAGCTTCTCATTCTTGGAATACAGTAAACCTGTATGTTATAGGCTATAAAATACTTGTAAGGCCATGTTTGATATGTATCAAAAATCAACTTCTTTTTTTTGTAAGCTGAAATTTTTTATTATTTGTATTTGTAAATCTTTGCAGTAAATAGTTAGGAGATAATACAGGTATACAACACATCTTAATTCTTTTTATTTCTCCTTCACTCCCAACTTCTGCTGTTTGAGCCTAAAATTTTATAACCACAATAAATCTGAACATAAATGCCATGTGTATAGGAGATATAAATCTAAAACTAGAAAGATTTTGTTTTATTTCTGTGTTCTATTGAACTGTTGTGATATAAGAGACACTGAAGGCAGAATTTGCATTACTGATGCTTGATTAGCTTTTGGGAGCTTGAACAATTCAAATGATTGAAGTTTTTCATTAAAAATATCTTATAAAATCAGGGCTATAGAATTTGGTTTAACATGAATAATATAGTATTACATAGCTTTTATTATAAAGTGGTTCAAGAATAAAATTTTCTCTCTCCTGATACCTTTTTGGTTATGATTTGTGTCAATTGTGACATAGCTCCCACAAAAGAAAACCAGTCACCACTTCTCTCAGATATACAATTTTTATGTTTATTGTTATTTCTTGAGCACATTTAGCCCAGTAATTATCAGTTAGAATTTTCTAAAAATAGAGTTACCCAGCCAAGGAGATAGCTCAGTGGCATAGCTCCTGCCTGGCAAGAGCAAGATCCTGAGTTCAATTTCTGGTACCAAAAAAAAAGATACCCAAATCCCCACCACTCCTGACCTAAAGAAGGAAGTTTAATTGTACAAGTTTAGAGTATTGTTGCCTCTGCCTGAAGACAAAATTAAAGGCTGGTAAAGATCAGTTTTTGATTATTGACACTTCTGTTCCATTGTTTCTTATCCCTAAGAAAAATAATTGATATATTTAACCTAGTGGGGATAAAGATCCTTAGCATGGAGGGTGGTTCCTGAATACCATTTCCAGTGCAGACTACTACTGCTGCTTAGAGAAAGGACTGAATCTAGATCTGGAACTGGGATGTCTAGATAACTTACGCCAAAATCAGAGGAGCCACCGGGTACCACCAAGTTCTGTCTGGAGGCTCATGAGCTGACTTGAATTTGTCACTGCTTGTAGACGGGACATATTGAGTATCGATAAGAATAGTCGTGGGATGGGCTTAAATGTAATAGATAACTTTAAATCCAGGGTTCATTTGGTACTAGAAGGAAAAAAGCAAAAGTGACTGTATTAGTTACCTTTCTTTCCAAGATGGTAGGGTGCCAGCTCATTATTTTGAAAGCTGGTAAGCAAATCAAATCTTTAACCAGCTTTTCTTGTATGGAATGTATGTCAGTTTAACCAAATCACCCATAAAGGAAAGTTTGTCTTTATAGAAGTTTTCCAGCCAGACGTGATGGCACATACCTATAACTCCAGCACTCAGGTGGCTGAGGCAGGAGGATTACCATGAGTTCTGGGCCAGCCTGGGCTACATGAGTGAGTTCAAAGCCAACCTGCACTGTATATTGAGACCCTGTCTCAAAAAAATTTATTCCAGCCAAAAAAATTAAGAGATATCATTGAATTAAGAGTATCAAGGGCCGGCAATATAGCTCTGTGGCACAAGTGCCTTCCTGGCAAGTGCAAGGTCCTGAGTTCAATTCCACGTACCCAAAAAAACCCATTTTAAGCCGGGCATAGTGGTGCACTCCTGTAATCCCAGCACTCGGGAGGCTGATACAGGAGGATCGTTGCAAGTTTGAGACCAGCCTGGGCTATAAAGTGGGCTCAAGACCAGCCTGGACTGCATAGTGAGATGCTGTCTCAAAAAGACCAAAAAAAAAAACAACATTCTCTCATGAAATAATAAATCTAGACAATGATAAGCAATCACTGCTAAAATTCCAGGAAATGACAATTGTATGGCATATGCCTTCCGGTGGAAATGCATACAAGTGCCAAACATTCTTGCCAAAAATGTAAAAACCTCAATCTTACTGAGTCACTGTATCTGGTATCTGGTTTACAGCAAGTAAGAAAACAGACCCTATTGAAAGATAGCATGGGGATGCAGTCAACACAACTGACCATACGCAAGTAAAACTAAAATAAATGCCCTAGCTGGGCATGGTGCCGCTCACCTGTAAGCCTAGCGCTCTAGGAGGCAGAGGCAGTAGACTGCAAGTTCAAGCCTAGTCTGGGAGACTCAGCCACTTGTTAAGACCCTGTCTCAAAAAATAATAATAATTTTTAAAGAGCTAGGGCCACAGCTCAGTGTAAAGATTATAGGTTCAACCTTTAGGAAACCTCCCCCCACCCCCAAGAAAATGTATAGGAAAATTAGGGACATTTGACTATTAACTGGCCAATGTTAAATAGGAAGTCTAAATTCTGGTTCAACTTAATCTAACAGTGTTGATTATAGAAGAAACAAAGCATCCATGAGTGTGTTGTAGTACTACATCATTTTCCACCCAGAATAAAGACTGATCTTCATAACTTACTTTTAGCCTTACCCCTCGTGAATTCAACTCTTATGGAGCCCGAAGAGGTAATGATGCAGTGATGACAAGAGGCACTTTTGCAAACATCAAGCTTGTTAATAAGTTCATTGGAAAGCCAGCTCCCAAAACAGTTCATTTTCCATCAGGACAGACGGTAAGGATGTGTATGAAGTATTCGAGCTGTTGCTCATTGGCTAGAAATTTATAATAAAAAATTTTCTGTGTTTTATCTACAGCTAGATGTATTTGAAGCTGCAGAGCTGTATCAAAAAGAAGGTATCCCACTGATTATTCTAGCAGGAAAGAAGTATGGTTCAGGAAATTCAAGAGACTGGGCTGCCAAAGGACCCTATTTACTGGTATGAATTCTTAACATTTATCTCAAGCTTAAAAGATATTTTAATGCTCCCTTTTATCAGTAGTAGCCTGTGGGAGTTTACTTGGATTTTTTTTGGATCTTGATTTTATGAGTGTTTAATTATCTTAGATGGTATTTTGTATTCATCTATTTTCATGTTAATACTCTGAATTTGTGTCAGCCTAGGTCTTTGCTTATGTGTGGAAGTCAGTCTGCTGGATGGAAAGAGGACTAGGTCTTAAACAATTTTTTTATTTCCTCTGTTTTGCTCCATTGAGGAGTTAAGAGACTCAGATGTCTTGGGTCAGGTTTCACCCCTCCCGCCCCCAGGTAGGACCTGGTGGTGCTGCTTCTCTTCAGGGTGTGCCTCGGCCTTGGCTGGACAGGCAGTCTACCATGGAGCCGCATCTGAGACAGGGATATGCACTGTATCATAGGGTCAACTCTTGTGAAGCTACCTAGCAGTGATCCTTGGCAGTCCACTCAGTTAGACATTAAGAATCTGAATGTGGGCTGGGTCCTGCCAGTTAGGGCCTCACTGTAGGTGATAGGGTAATGGGCCATTTTCCCCTTCATACACCTGTCTGTGATTATCTGCTTACATTTGCTTTGAGGCCATTTAGTTTCTTGAAAGAAGATGCACTCGGGGTGTCACCTCAGTCCCGATTTCTGATCTGGTGTTCTCAAAGCTACATTCTTGAGGCTTGTAAGGCACGCATGATGGTACCCAAGGGACGAGAACTGTTTCTTAGGTGGTACAAGGAAACCCTTCTCTTTGTATGTATGTAAAGTACAGATAAACAAATAGTGCATAAATAAACACATAGTGTGTAGATTAAAAGTTTGAAGGGATTGGTGAGGAAGGTGAGGTGATGAAAGAAAAAAAGTCCTTTGAAAGTCTAAAGTCCCACCTTAGGCAGTAGCAGAAAAGTTGAGAATCACAGGTCGAGAACCTCTCTAGTTCATTGTCTCCAGGGCACGAACATTGACTCTTCTGGCATAGAGGCTGAACTAAGGGTCTCGTTGCTCTATACAGGCTTTTGACTGGAACCCGCAGTGCTCTAAGAGATTGGAGGCTTTTCTGGGTTCTGCATTACATGTTGTCTCAGAACTTAACTGAAACCGCTCTCTAATTTCAGTTCATCATTCTGTAGGTTCCTGTTTGTGTTTACTAAATATTTACAGAATTTTTCTCATTCTGTTCATCCTGTGGCTGTGGATTTATATCTTCTTTTTCTTCAAGTATTACCTTAAGAGAAATTGGTGGTTAACATACATGCTGGACTGACTGTCAGTCACTTGGGGCAAAGCACCTGTCCCACGTAACCATCTCCTGTGTGTGGTTGACATGGCCAGCACTTGACCCTAGAGTGGCCAGGGCAGGGGAGAGGGGAGGAGACAGAACAACACAGGAAGCTCTTAAAAACACAGAAAAGTCATGTATAGAAGGATTCTGTAAATGTTGTTGATACAACATTGACCGTAGTATGGAATATTAGATAAAAAGTGTATACCTGAAAATCCAAAATAGGTGTTTTTCCTTTTAAAATGCTCAATAAATCAACTTTCAGAAATGATTAGAAGAAATAAAATACACATTTGTTGCAGGGTGTAAAAGCTGTTTTGGCTGAAAGTTATGAAAAAATACATAAAGATCATTTGATTGGAATCGGCATAGCTCCACTTCAGTTCCTTCCGGGAGAAAGTGCAGACATCCTGGGCCTCTCGGGCAGAGAGACGTTTTCTTTAACATTTCCTGAAGAATTGTCTCCTGGAATAACATTAAATATAAAGGTACCTCTAAAATTCTCACATGTGACTGTGCAGTCTTTGCTCAAAGAGATGGAATGTAAATTGACTTAAGACAATTGAAAGTGACATACTTACATTAGTTTTTAAAAGTTGTAGTTTGAGATGGCCTTGTTGCTTGTGTACTGTGACTTCGTTATGCACCTCGTGTTTTCTGAGGCAAAGTAAAATGAACTGCATGCTTAATCCAAAAGAGAAATATGGAGGGGGGTCTCGCCTTCTAATTGCATGCTTTCTCGTCTTGGTTTTCAGCTCTGTTTTAACCCAGATGTATACTCCAAAGAGCAGGCAAAAGCTGAGCATTCAGGGTTATAATGCGACTTTACAACTAAGGGGAAAAAAGGAAGAATGCCAGCCATGAGGTCCAATGAATAGTTAATGTAAAATGAATATGGATAGTGAGTAATAACTCACACATAAATCAAAATCTAAATCCTTTGAATGTTCTACGTAGTATAATATTTCTCATTTAAAATTAGAGATGAAAATACCTCTTTTTCTACTTAGCTTTCAGGTGGTTTTGAAACAACAGAAGGGTTTCAGGCAGTCAGAATTTATGAAATCAGAGCAAGGAACATTAGACAAAATATGTGACAATCTGTCATTGAATATGAACGCAGATATTTTAAGTAATACTTTGAAGATTTTTCCCCTCATGTGAGATGTTTTTATTTGTTTAAAGACAAGTACTGGAAAAGTATTCAGCGTGATTGCTTCATTTGAAAATGACGTGGAAATAACACTGTACAAGCACGGAGGATTATTAAACTTTGTGGCACGGAAATTCTCCTAGTATCTGCTAGCCATGGATCTTCAGAAACTCTTAACTTTGAAGCCTTCTGTGCTGGACTGGGAATCCTGGCATGGAGCTGCAGTGGTCCCAGTGCGCTCACCTCTGTCATCCGTGGATGTAAATGATTATGAATCACAGTAGTGACTGCAATGAAATCTTGATCTTAAATCATACACGAATGGTGCTATTAACATTGCTAAAATCAACGTGTGATGTGTGTTGTGGAAGAAACCTGTAAGTATGGGTGGGTAGGGATATTTTATCAGACCATTTTGTAAATAAAGGCAGAATTTGAACTTGTGTTGAAGATTCTTACATGAGTAACCTTGTTTGTTTAGTTTTGCACCTATAAAACTGTACTACTGTTTGTTGGTTTAAGAGTAGCAGATTGAAATATAAGAACCCAGATTAGACTTACAGTTGTGGAAGTTAGAATCTGATTTATAAATGGATTTTTAAGTATATCAATTCCTTTTCAGAATTGAGCTGGATACAGTTGGCATTCTTAGTCTGCCATAAAAGCCAGGTTTATCCGTAGTCTCATTCTAACTAAAGGGAGAGAACCTGCCCCAGATCACAATCATTCTGTGCAGTGCGGCCGAAGTTTCCTCCAAATCTGCATGTGGACCATTGCGGAATACAAGCAGTTCTGTGGCACATGTGTTAGCAATGAAAGGAGGGATGTCTATGATGCAGCACTTAAGTTTTTGGTAGTTTGCCACCGTACCCTGTGGCAAATCTCAGATACCATTTTATTAATTGGATTAGCTTTTTTTTGCCCATCTAATGTAATACTAGAACTTTTGTAACCTAATTTAGGTATCACCAACTGACATTCCACACTCAGCTTGTGGAAGCTAAAGAGAACTTGAATCATTAGATGGTAACCATATTTCTTTTAAATTATCCACCCTGACATATGGATCTTTACCCATAAGCATTTTTTAAATGTTGCTATTTGATTTCCTCTCATTTCGAATCATTGTTTTACCAAGTGTGTGATTCCATTAATTTTTTTATGGTTTATTTGGTTTAACCAAAACTGACCCATAAGTTAAATTGTTGCTGAGTGTCAGATGTTCTCAGTATGTTATGTGTTTCTATCATACTATTCAAAATGCTCATTTTGTCAAGACGTGGGAACTTATTACAGCAGGTTGGATAATTAATTTCAGAAGCTCCTGTACGTTTTTCAGTTAAGAAATTAAGCTTCCAGCAAAAGGTTAAGGTAATGTTTTTGTTTCTGTTTTACATGGAGATCTTCATATGACCTAGGTAAGGTTTTGCAGTTCAGAATTAGCTCACATTGCACAGAATAAAAAAGTGCTTATTTTAAGCTAAAATGCTGAAACTACCAAACCAGTGGGTAAAGACCTGAGAACTTTGCACATAATCAGTCGTAGTCTTTTTAAACCATTTTGTAAATATTTATTTAGACAATGAATTGGACTAGAATTTGACAGTAATTTCCTGTCTTTATTTAAATTTTTTATGAATGTTTTCTTTGGTCCTTTCAAATCATGTTGTGTCTTGATACATGCTGTATATCTGTCAGCGCATGTGTTTAATTTACATGAGTTTGTGATGGAGAATTTACAGATTGAATGTTAAAATACCTGTTACATGCTTTGAGGAAATGATAATTCCAGATTGTATGGGAAAGAAAAAACTGTTACTTTGAAAGTGTACTCTGTCGTCTGTGGACATCACACAAGCTGATCAAGAAGTGGTGATAAAGCTGTCTAGTGATGGCTTAAACGTGGACATTTACAAGTAAACCTGTATTCCAGGAACAAAATCGAGGTTCTTTTAATCTCTTGTTCATATACAATGAACTAGAAGCTTGTGAGTGTGGTTTTAAATTGTAGGGGAGAGTTGTAGGCTATGCCCCTGGGTGTGCATCTTGTAATTCTGCCTCTCGCCAAATGCTGCAGAATTGGCATTTGTTTTTCACCTCTTTGTTGACTGTATCTGGGTGATTTTTTGTTACCAAAAAAAAAAAAGTGTCATAAGCTGGGTATGGTGGCTCACACCTGTAATCCCAGCAGTCGGGAAGCTGAGGTTGAGGCAGGAGGATCACTGAGAGTTCCGAGACCAGCCTTGACTACGAAGTGAGTTCAAGGCCAGCCTGAAGTGCATAGTGAAACCCTGTCTCAGACTTAAAAAAAAAAAAAAAAAAAAAAAGTGTGATAGGCACACTACTCAAAAGCAAATCAGTGTTGTGAATGTACAGTACAATTTCAAAGGTCATTACCAACAGCAACATTTATTTTATGAAAAACCTGCTATATGACATTGCCATTTTCATACCTTTGAGTCCTGCTAGTCCTATTAAATGTCATACAGCCACTGAATTGCCTTTACTATTTATACCTTAAAAGTCCCAAGGTGACAGTTGTCATTATTTTCTGTCTTGTCCCCGTTGAGGACACTTGGGTGCAAGGGAGCAGAATTCCTTCAGCCACATTGCCTGGATTTTCCCTAGTGGTGGTTCTGAGAGCTGTAAAGCTACTAGCTGAGTCCAACTCATTGCTATTTGGGTATTCAGTGACAATGATGTATGCATCCTCTTCTCACTGATAAGTGGCAGGGTGAGAGAAATTTGACATTTTTTCTGTGGCTAAATTAAGAGACATTTCTTTGCTTTTAGTTTCAGGATAAAATGCTAAGCTACTTGGGGGATGACCCTGTCCAGTTTGACTTGGAATAAACAAGACAGTGGGAAAGGGGTTGACTTTAGCTTTTTCAGTGTTTTGGCTTTTTTGTTTTGTTTTTGTTTTTCCCTAACAGGTGACAGTGCTGATATTTTCTGTCAAACTTTACACATGGGGCTATGAAACTATATATCTCAATTAATTGCAAATCATTATTTAAAGCCAACAAAACAGTGTAACAGTTTTAAGTTCAATAATGTTAAGTATTGTATAGAAATATATTGGAGGCAAAGTCCAGTTGATGACAATGGTGTATATGTTACTGATGATGTAAATTATTTTTAATAAAGAAAATTGTATTATCACAGTTGGCTGTTGTTACATTTTTAGCAATGACTTAAAAATGACACAGGATGCCATCCCAAAATTTCTTATCAAATACATTATGTAAGTGTTCAGAGGTCACATTGTTGCCTGCGGCTGCCATGGAAACCCATAGTTCTCACCCTGTATGTCTACCTGCCCCTTTTCTACTCGAGGACTAATGAGAATGAACACATAAATATTTGTTGCCTGGCAATAAAGTTGAATTTCATTCAAGATAGTTCCAACAGGTACTTAGATTGATAGAACCAGTTTAGAGTTGAAGAGACTAAAGAATTCAAAGGAGGACCCTTTGTATAAGTGACACCTCTTAATTGGAAAGGACAATATTTTAACATTCGAGAGACTGCAGCTACAAGCGCCTCGCTGGTAGCCGGCTGGCCAAGGTCAGGTGGAGGCTCTGTGCCTTCCAGGCCTCATTCGCCCGTCAGTGCATGCAGAGTGCACAGGTGTCTCTGTAGAAACATTTGCAGTTCCCAACACCTGAGACAGGTCGTGGCCAGGCCCATTCAAGATGTGATGGCCTGGAGGGGCTCACTACTTCGGGCTACCTTTGTAAAGAGGCTCTTCCATGCGCGCTTCCAGCAAGAGGTGAGGAGAGAGAGGAAAGAAAATGTGTGTTGGACCTGATCACTTGGACTCCTGAGAAATTGTCCAAAGTACCTCCAGACCACGTGGATGGGGCGGAACTGAGAGGTGCCACGCAAAGACGTAGCTCCTGCTGAGTGACTACTTTGAGGGGGCGGGGCCTTGGAGAGCCAATCAAGGGCGAGCTCCCATTACGAAAGGAACGTAGTTTTTTTATTTTGACAGCGGTGCTGGACTATGGGGGGCGGGGCCAGGATTGCAGAAAGCCAGTGAAATCACGAGCCAGATTTCTAATTTCCTGTTTGGAGGCCCCTTGGGACAAAGTCTAGTGTCCCTGGCCTAGCCATGCCTTCCAGTAGTTCGAGCTGACTGTGCGGCAAGAAGTGAGAGTGGCCAATCAGGAATCTAGCACGCCGGGCTCCTGGAGGGGCTAACCCAGCTCTGGCACCTCCGGGTCCATATTCCCGGCCTTCTCGTCCTGGACCGTTTCGGGCAACGTCCTGAGCCCGACGAGGGTGAGCGCCACGCGGGATAGTGCAGTGAGCAGGGCAGGGAGCGGATAAGTAGGGCAGGGAGCGGAGGCCCGCGGGGCCGGGCCTGGCCGGGCTGGGGACGCCCGAGGGCGGGATTCCCGGTCTAGGGCGGGGATCCTGCCCGTGATCCTGTGGTTCTCACCAGCGTGGCCTCGATCGGGACGCGCGGTCCCTTCTCCTTCCCCCACCATCCCGGGCTGAGATTCCAGGAAAACCCAGGGCACCACGCTTTGGAGCCCCAGTGTGGAGAGCAGAGGAAAGTGCCTGGTGGGAACCATTTCTGAGCATCCCCTGGCCTCATTAATATCATAACTATGAACCTGACCCGTGTGTCCTCCTCCTACCCCGTTATTTTCCTGTGTTTTGGGTCAGCAACCCTTTGGAATCCTGCTGGTCCCCAGCTTTTCATCCTTCATTCAAAGTCAAGATCCGGGTGCACCCAGTCGTGCATTACTATCGTCTGCAAACTGCTGAGTCCGGGTTCCCTGCTTTACTTCCTGTGGAGTGAAGGCAAACCTGGTTCAGTGTTTAATATTCACTGAGGCACCAGCTGGGTGCTGAGACTCCACCCGCTACTCTCCAACCCGGGAAGGACAGAAGTTTGCAGAAGAAAGGGAGATTGGCAAGACCGGCTAAGGGAGAGGTTCCTTGGACTTGGTGACCCTCTTCGGGGAGAGAGAAGAATCAAGACCGACTCCTATTCTTGTCTGGAGCAACCTTGTGCTAAGTGCAGAGTGAGATTCTCCTACAGACCTTGAGCTTTCCTGAACGTTTTTTCCCCAGGCGCCAAATAAAATAAAGATCAACAGCAGTCCTATAGGACTGGTATCCCCCTTCTCCCTCCCACATGCAGGACAGATGTGGTAAAGAAAACATCTGTAGCAAACACATTTCTTTCTGTATGTTTGTTTACTTTCAGGATCTGTGCCATTCCTTCCAAGATTTGGAGTCCTTCCTACACGAAGAAAAAAGGCAAACTCAGAGAGAAAGGACTTCAGCCTCATATTTTTTCTCGGGCGATCCGGTGCAACTCTTTCCAGAGTCTGAAATTCAAAGGTCAGATGGTAGACCTGGGTGTAAAATACGACTTCTTACTGCACCAGCCCAGCCAGCAATGCCTCACACTGCTTTAGAACCCAGGGTTCTTCAGAGGGACACCTAAAAGCCCCCTTCACAGATGTTATAGAAGCATTTTCTGGCCCAGCAGAGAGCTGGCCTTACTCAGCTGCCTTTCAACTTTAAGAATTTATAATTCGGGGCCGCGGGTATAGCTCAGCGGTGCAGCACCTGCCTGGCAAGTGCGAAGTCCTGAATTCGATTCCCAGTACCAAAAAACAAAAAACAAAATTTATAATTCATAACAAATCCATAGTTACTCTGACATCCTTAACACTCTGGGAATTGAAAAATTACACCAGGGTTTTACTGTGTAGTTAACGCTGCAGTTCCTATTACACTCAGGATCAGGCCTTACACCACCGTTTGTAGGAGGAATGTTTACATTTCCTTTAAGTCTTAAGTCCTAAAAAACAGTGCAGCAGGGTATGTTGGTTCCCAAAAGTTTCAGGTGCAAAAAGCATTTTGAAATCCCATGTAGGCTTTGTTATAATGTCTTTAGTGAACCAAATCTCAACAGCTTAATTTCTTTCTCAAAGGAAATCCTATGGTAAACAAGAGACATGATCGTCAGGTGCGCAGTGGTGCAGCGCTGTGTGGTCAGAGAGATGGCTTTGGGTGGACAGATGAGGAAAGGCCCTGGAGAGCTGTGACATCGGAGGCTTTTACTCTTATTGTCCCTCGAGTCATCGGGCTGAGTAGTCTTGGGGCTGAGGCAGAGAGAAGCCTGGATACCTTCCGGAGTTTCCCTTCCCTCAGTGGAGTAGGTGGCCTTCATGTGACAGGGCTGGGGTGACTGGGTATTAGCAGGCCTCGCTGTGACGTGCAAGCTCTGAGACATTCTGAGACCTCCCCTCCTTGTCCTTGCTTATGTCTACTAAGGTTTTTTTTTTTTTTAAGGTAAAATTTACATTCAGTGAGATGGACAGATGTTACATTCACTTCAGTTTTAAGCTAAGTTTTGAGGGGAGGTTTTGTTTGTTTTGTTTTGTTTTTGTCTTTTTGAGACAGGGTCTCACTATGCAGTTCAAGCTGGCCTTGAGCTCACTTTGTAGCCCACGCTGGTCTCAAATTTGCAATGATCCTCCTGCCTTGGCCTCCCAAGTGCCAGAATTACAGGAGTGTGCCACCATGCCTGGCTGTTCACCTAGGTTTTGGCAAATGTATGCACCCATGCAGTGAAAGCCTCGTCAAGATACAGGGCTGAGGATGTGACTGGGGTAGAACCCTTGCCTCACAGGGATGGGTTTGACCTCCAAGACTGCCAAAAATCATTAAGATATAGAACAATTTCATCTCAAAAAGTTCCCTCTAATGGGAGGCTGAGACATGAGGATTGCAAGCTGAGGCCAGCCTAAGCTACCCAGAAATACTCTGTCTCAAAAAAAGAATTCCCTCATGCTGCCCTTTTGCTAGAAGCATCAGCTGTTCTGCTTGCTTTTTTTCTTGTTGAACCTAGGGTGCGCTAAGCTATATTCCCCAGTCCTTTAGGTTTGTTTTTTTTAGTTTTTTTTGTTTTGTTTTGTTTTTGGATTTTGGTTTGATTTTGGTTTTTCTGAAACAGAGCCTTATTATGTAGTTCAGGCTGGCCTGGGCTTAAACTCACTATGTAGCCCAAACTGGCCTCCAACTTACAGTGATCTTCCTCCCTCAGTATCCTGAGCGTTGGGATTACAGGTGTGCACCATTATGCCCAGCCCATCTGTCTATCTAGCTAGCTAGCTATTTATTTATTTAGAGACAGGGTCTTGCTAAATTGCTAGGCTGTCCAGGTTGGCCTGGAATTTTTGATCCTCCTACTGTTGCAGAAACTGTAGCAAACTGGATGGAAAACACTTTGCAAAAGGGAGTTGGAAGGCAACTTTTATTAACGTTGGTGGGCTGATGTGGGATTGCTCCCCCAAAACAGCACTGGCTTAAAGTAAAACAAGCAACTTATATGCTTTTTATAAGCAGGAAATACAGAGTATAATGGGTTAGCCTATAATTGGTTACATATATTTAGTCTGATGTAGACAGGCAGATGTGTCTGGGGCAGGTTTAGAGGGAGCCATTTATCATGGAGCAGGAAGGGAGCGGGGGTCAGCTTCCCAGGCAAGCGGGCAAGATTTAGTATGACCCTCAGAGGGCTAGCTTGCCCCTTGAAGCAGACTAGCAAAGCAAAATATTTGTGTAGGCTATTTTACAGCTGGACAGATAGAGCTGAATCCATAATTTCTGAGTTGCAGGTGGATAGTCAAGGCCATCTGAGTCTGACAGCCCAATTATGAAGCTGTAGTTTTAAAATTTTTCCCACTACACTACCTGAGCCTGCCAAGTGCTGGGATTACAGGTGTGTACCACTGCACCCAGCTGAGATTTTTTTTTAGTGGGTTGGTACTAGGGATTGGACCCAGGCTGTTCATACTGAGTTACATCCCCTGCCGGGCTAAGATTTGTTTGATGTAACACCTCATCCAGCTGCGTGCAGGGCTTATACCTGTTATCCCAGCATTTGGGAGGCTGAGGCTGGCTGGATCGTGAGTTCAAGGCTAGCCTGAACCTGTCTGAAAAAACAAAAACATTGGAAAATGGGAAGAAGATGTTCAAATGAGAAGGAAACAAGGGAGGGGGAAGGAGAAAGGAAAGAAGGGACGAGAAAAGAAAAGAATAGGTGGAAAAATGGAAACAAAGCTTTTGTAAATAAAGAGGGGAAGTGGGATTGAAGCAGGGAGGGGAATGGGAAAAAAAGAAAAATCAAGCTACATCAGGTACAAACTCTCTCTGATGAATGTTACTATGTATATCTAAAATGTACCAATAAAATAAAAAGTTAAAAAAAAAAAACAAAAAAGATTGCATCTCCTGAACAACAACCAAAATCATACCCTAAAAGGCAACTCACCCCAAGATATTATCAGTCATGCACAACTTGGAATGAATGAAGAATGGAAAGAAAACGATTTTGGGAAAAGAAGAAGGTAAAATTGTAAAAACCTTAGAGATTTGGTTCCTGATGGATGCTTAGGCCCTACGTTTCCTGGGTGCCCAGGAAACAGGCCAGGTGCTCGGAGCCAGGAATGTAGCTCCCAAAGGGAAGGAAGCCGGCTTCCCTCCCCGCCTCTCCCAATGGACTCAAAGCCCGGTTGAAATCCCTCTGCCTTCAGCTGCGCTCATTCTCTCCCCTTCGCTGTCACCATAGCTTGGGCAGGTATTAAATTTTTAGGTCACAAATTCAAGTTCTAACTTTATCTTTTGTAACTGGTAGTAGATTTTATTTTAAGCCCCTGTTCCTCTTTGCAGTAGAAAATGTGTTCTTTACCGTTTAAGGTAAGCCTGGTCAATTCAGTGTGAATCCAGTCATTCCAGGTTTGTACTTAATTAATTCAAAGTTTTCTTTAGCAGTCCATAAGTTTGTTGTGTACTGCTTTATAGCAATGTGTTCTGAGTCCTTCTTTTGACTTTTTATTGATTGGTTGATGTGTGTGTGTGTGTGTGTGTGTGTGTGTGTGTGTGTGTGTCTTTTTGAGGCAGGGTCTCGCAATGCAGTTCAGGCTGGCCTTGAGCTCACTCTGTAGCCCAGACTGGTCTCAAACTCACAAAGATCCTCCTGCCTCTGCCTCCTGAGTGCTAGGATTACAGGTGTGTGCCACCACGCCCAGCTCTTTTTTAAAATTGAAAACAAGGCCTTTACACTGAACTATAACCTCAGCCCTTTTTATTTTTTAATTTGAGACAGAGTCTCACTAAGCTGCTAAATTGCCCAGGCTGGACACACACTTGGCCATCTGCCTGCCTCAGCCTCCCAGAGTATTGGGATGACAGGCGTGCACCATGCTTAGCTTCTTTTAATGGTTTTTGTTGTTACACTGTCTGTGGTTGTGAGGGAATTTTTCAACTGTTGTAGAACACAGGCCTTTACATAAGACTCGGTACATCATCCACATCTTTGTAATTTGAAGTGCGTGGGATAAGCTAAATGAGGTCTGTATAACTTAACAAAATTCACTAGAAAAGATTGTTGTGTTTGAATCTGTCTTTTTAACTCACTACTGGTGATAAGAGAGTGAAAAGGACATAACTGTGGTCTAGGAGCCTGAAGAACCGGTCTTGCTGGAAGGAGACTTTGGTCACTTAATGCCGAGCACCTGAACTTTCCCTGTAAAGGTGTAGGCAAGAGGGCAGGATTGGGTTCGGGTGACCCCAAGGTGCTTTCCTGGTCTGTGCTTTCTCCCAGGACTTGGCCTTCAGTTTGGGAGATAAGTTTTAAGATTTTAAGTTTTAAGATGATTCATTGCTGGGCATGGTGGCGCATGGTGCTGTAATCCCAGCACTCGGGAGGCTTGAGACAGGAGGATCGTTGTGAGTTCGAGACCAGCCTGGGCTACAAAGTGAGCTCAAGGCCAGCCTGAACTGCATTGCAAGAGTCTGTCTCAAAAAAAAAAAAAAAAAAAAAAAAAAGATATGATTCATGGTATAATATAATTTTAGTCCCCTGCCAAAATAGCTATTTTTTTCTTTTTCTTTCTTTCTTTTTTTTTTTTGGTAGCGTTAGGGTCGAACCCAGGTTCTCCTGCCTGCTGGTCAAGCACTCAGCCCCTGAGCTGCACTCCTGGCCCCAAAACTTTTTTAGGGGGAGGTTGGGTAAGTTTGAGACAGGCTCTCACTACAACGTAGTCCAGGCTGGCTTTGAACTCACTCAAGTCTCGGCAATCCTCCTGCCTCAGCCTTCCATGTGCTGGGATTATTGCCATGTACAACCACACCTGGCATGGCCCCAACACTTCTTGATCTCTCACGGATTTGATTTGTTTAGCTTTATGAGTAAAAATAATTGAAAGAAATATGGAACCAAGGTAAAGCAACATTCTTGGGCTGTCTGCGGAAAGCACTAACGTAATTCTCCCGTGTCCCCTTTCTGCTTGCTTGTTCCCCAGGCACGATGGCAAGTGGAGCCAATCAGCAAACACAGGCTCTGGCCAAACCTGATTTCACCGAGGCCCAAGCCTCTGCATTGGTGGAATCAGTATTTGGGCTAAAAGTGTCAAAGATCCAGCCACTGCCGAGCTATGATGACCAAAACTTTCACGTTCACATCTCAAGAACCAAAGATACTGCAGATGGCCCTGCTGAATGCGTCCTCAAAATAAGCAACACTGAGGCCAGCAAAAACCCAGACCTGATCGAAGTGCAGAATTGTGTCATCATGTTTCTAAAGGCAGCTGGGTTTCCAACAGCGTCCGTGTGCCACACGAAAGAGGACAACATGATGTCTCTGGTGTCCGTAGGTGAGAGACGCCAATTCTCGCACACGCCTGCACTCGGGATCCAGGTGGAAATGCAGTGTTGAGCATGAGCTCACCTTTCCAAGTGGAGGTGTGTTATTCTCCCTGTACTTGGGGAAAGCCACTGATCACCAGCGTGGAGACTGGCCTCTGGTCTGGAAGTGGTTGCAGCTGCATCGGGTAACTTTCTCCTTAGAAATCGTCTGATGGGGAGAACATTTTTGTTCTCCTTTAACCAGAAATACAACCCACACCCCTTTTTTTTTCTGAGCTGGGTATTGAACCTAGGGGCTTTCACATGCAGGTGCACCACCACTGGGCCAAACCGTGACCCCAGTGAAACATTTCTATTCATCAGAAGAGCTATTAATTCTGGTGCAGTGGTGTAGGAGAAAGAATGAACACAAGACCAGACAGACAGGAGGAGTTGTAGATCTAGTTCTGTCATTACCTTGTTATTTATTTATTTTTTTGGGGGGGTACCAGGAATCGAATTTGGAACCGTGTACTAGCCAGGCAGGTGCTTGTGCTGCTGAGCTATCTCCCCAGCCCTCCGTTATTACCTTGGGCACCCACTTAATTCCCAAGCCTCAGTCCTCAACTGTGAGATTCGGTTCCCTTAACCTCTCAGTGACTAATGCTAAGATATGCCTAATCCAGCGAGGAGCAGCCTGAAATCTGTTTCTTGGAATTTTTTGAAGTTTGAAGTCTTGATTGTCTTTTTCTTCATTGTCCATCCTTTCTTTTGGGGAAAGGGGCTTGAAACAGGGCCTCTTGCCGGGCCTGGTGGCACATGCCTGCAATCCCAGCACTTGGGAGGCTGAGGCAAGAAGATCGTTATGAGTTCAAGACCAGCCTGGGCAATAAAGTGAGCTCAAGGCTGGCCTGAACTGCATAGTGAGACCCGATCTCAAAAAAAAAAAAGAAAGATAAAAAGATAAAAAAGAAAGAAACAGGGTCTTGCTATGTATTTCAGGTCAGCCTTGAGCTCACTTTGTAGCCCAGGCTGGCCTTGAACTCGTGGTGATCCTCCTGCCTCAGCCTCCCAAGTACTGGGATTATAGGTGTGCACCACCATGCCTGGCCTCTGTCCACCCATTCTTAATTTGCATGATTCCAAATAACTGAGCCCTAACCTGGTCCCTGAGGGACAGATGTCCTGTGTTATACACATAGGTTGTACCACAGTTTGCCCCTGGGGATGCCTTATTTATTTAGGTTTACTGAGACAGGGTCTCACTGTGTAGCTCAGACTTACTTTGTAGTCCAGGCTGGCTTCAGCCTTGCAGTTCTCCTGCCTCAGCCTCCTGAGTAATGGGATGAAAGGTGTACAATACCACGCCCAGCTAGAATAGTCATTTCTTCATAAGCATAGACTTCTTAAAGACTGTGGGTCTGAGAGATTGGTCTACTATAGTGGAAATTTCCCTTTAGAGCTGAGGCCCAAGGAGCTGGGCCTGTGTTTGTCGACTGTAAATGTCAATTCCAGCGTTCTTGAGATTTGTTGCCTGTTTGTTCGTCAGCTCAGCCCTGCTTCACAGAGTGCTGCAGAGCAGTTTTTGATTTGCACATTTTTTCCTCTTCTGTGTGTTTTTAATAATGATCGCAAAGGCAGGATAGTTTTTAGGATGTTTTGTTTCCTTTTTTAGAGAATAGTCGAGAATGCCATGTGTCGTTGCATCCATCTAGATAACGGCTCCGGAACCAGAAGCCACTTGCTGAGGCTGCTGACATTCCTCCCGGGCAGCCCCGTAGCCCAGACGCCCGTCAGCCCCCGGCTGCTGTACGAAATCGGGAGGCTGGCTGCCAAGTTGGATAAGACACTGGAGGTAAGAGTTGGGGTTTTATTTTGTTTGTAGGAGATTTTTGTATATCCTATCTTTAGAGTAAATTCAGGATCAGATTCTCTTCTTACACAGGGTGTTTCCTAACATGCATGGAGAAGAAAATGGGCCTCTAGGAGTGTGTTTTAGGACAGAAAGGCTCCTGCCCCAGTCTGTGCTTTACTGATGAGCTGGTTGGCATGGTTACCTAAGCTTTTAGAAATTCAAGCTCTTTGTATGCATCGTGAAAAAGAGCCTCTACTCACAACCTGAAATTTTCATCCAGATGAGGCACAGTCTGCTGGAGCCCTGTACGGGGCAGTGGCTAAGTCGCAAACAGATTAGCAGGCTGAGAGTGTAGCTCACTGGTGCCCTTGGCAGGTACAGGATCCTGGCTTCAATTGCCAGTACAGAAAAAAGGAGGAAGAAGAGGAAAACTTGTGTTAACTATATTTTTATCCCAGGTAAACAATGTTTGCCCAGTGCTTTTCATCTGTTTGCCCAGATGTTATATGCCCCCCACATAACATCTTCATTTACTCGATAAGCATCCATGGGGCTTTGGGTGTCTGTTGCTGTTTTAAAAAACCATCTTCCTTACTGACTCGAAAGAGTAATGATTTATTTCTTGTGGCTCCGAGGGTTGGCCATGAGCGGTTCTCTTTCTGTGTGATTAGGTGCAGCTGGGTCTCACTGGAGCCCACAGGCCCTTCCGCTGTCTATACGGCCCCTCTGTGCATGGGGGTCTCATCCTTCAGCAAGGCCCAAGCACCCTTGCAAGATGGCTCCTGCCTTTCCAGGGACGGGGTCCCCAGGGGATGTGACTCATGGACACATCCTTGCCAGGCCTCTGCTTGAATCGTGCTACGTAATGCCCCATCAGCCAATGAGAGTAACAGGGCTAACCCAGTGTCAACTGGCACAGCCACACAGAGTGAGCCAGGCAGCGCGGTTCAGAGGCTGGCATGGCCACCGTCCCGCGCGCGTGGTCCTGGCATCACTGTTTCATGTCGGTGCCTCCTGTTGGGTGCGCCTCATGAGGAGCTTCTTGAATTAGTATGTGTTTCCTTTATGCATCTTTTATCCTCAGTGTAAATACACTGAGAAGTATTAAATACATGAAGAAGAGGGCTTCATGAAGGAAGTCAATTCTGAGGGGCTATTGAGTTAGGAGTACAGTAGATATAGGGGCTGGGGATTTAGCTCAGTGGCGCAGTGCCTGCCTGGCAAGCACGAGGTTGTGAGTTTGATTCCCAGTACTGGAAAAAAAAACAAAAAATAAAAATAAAAAAAGGAGTGCAGTAGATAAACAGAAAGGCCTGGATGCTGCAAGGCAAAGCACACAGGAATCACGGCAGAGCCACTTCCATATTCCAGAGCCCTTGGATAACTCACTGGGACGGAGTGTGGGACTGTGGTGGAGAGAGGCAGGGGTCAAACTAAAGATGTAAGGTGGAGTCGGGTTATAAAACCAGGTCACGTGTGACAGTGAAGTGTTTGTACTTGTCCCAGAGAGAGTGTGGGGCCCTGGAAGGTTCCTCAGTGGACACCACTTCCTGACTCTGTCACTCAGGGGCCAACAGGGCAGGAGGATGGGCAGGAACCAAATGGGATGTAGGAATGAGTATACCCAGGAACCTAACGGCAGTCACGGGAAAGCTGATTGAGGGCTCCAGCAACAGAAAGTTTAGGAGTGGCACCAATGAGCTTTGGTGAGGGATTCAGTGTTAAATTTAGAAGAGAGGAAGAGGGTTGAGCAGGATGTGGGTTCTAAGTAGGCTGCTGGTCCCCAGGACTATCCTGGGGAGCCTCCATGTCCTGGGAGGAGGAACTGACTGGAAGGGGTGCCTGGAGAGGGGGTGTGAGGGGCTGAGGTCAGCAGCTCTGCTCCTCCTCATTCCCCTACTGGCGCTTTCTGCAGTCTGCCTGCCCACCTCCACCCAGCTCCCTCTAGCTTCTTTCCATCTAACTGGAGCTTCAGAGAGAGGAGGAAGGTGAAGACCCTGCCAGGAGTTAGGGAAGAGAAGAGACTGGTTGTTCAGCTGATAGTCACGGAGTACTGGTCACTCAGTGACTTGAGACAAGAACAGTTTATTTCCCATGATGCTGTGGGTTTCAGGCAGTTTTCTCTACTTAGTTAGGGGCTGTAGTGAGACTTTGGAGATTTCTAATCCTCTGTACTCAAAGAAACTTCATAGTGATGGTCTCCTAGGAAAGAGCAAGAAAATAAAAATAAATAAAAAAAAAGATTTGCTATTTACATTGCAGTCTTTATTCAAAGTGTGTTTCTCATAGGAAGCATATATTTGAATCTTGCTTTTTTATATAGTCTGACAGTCTTTGCCCTTTACTTGAGATGTTCAGACCATTTATGTTTAATGTGATCATTGATATGGTTAGGTTTGTGTTTATCATCTTACTATTGTCTCCTGTGCTCTACCATTGAGCTACATCCCTATCCTTTTTCATTTTCCATTTTGAGTCAAGGTTACTGCTAAGTTGTCCAAGCTTCCTTGATCTTGTGGTCCTCCTGCCTCAGCCTCCTGGGTAGTTGTGATTACAGAGCACCAGCTCACTTGAGGACCTTTATTATTCTCATTCATGTCTTTCATTGGCTCAAGTCATTGTTTTATTATTTTAGTGAGTAACTTAGGGTTTATAGAATATGTATTATCAGTCTCCCTATTTATATGGTATTACTTCACGTATAGTATGAAAAGTGATGAAAGACTATAGTGATTGTTTTAATTTTTTAATTTATTACAGTAATAGATATATTGCCATTAATCCCCCTCATAGCCTTCCCCCTCTCTCCTAACACACTCATCCCATCATTGTTGCCACTTTCTGGAGCAGTTCTGAGTCCTCTTTCCTGAGTGTCTTCAGCTGCACTGTTGTGGCTGCCTTGATGTCCTGCATCATGAGTTTGACTTTAACGGTACCAGGTCTGATGAACAAGGTGGATGAGGACACAGCACCATGTTTTTATGAGCCTGCTTTTTCCCTTTCCATTTGATGGCACTCAGCAGCAGCATTCACCAAAATTTTTGATCACACCTCCTAAAGACACAAAAGCTCACTTCCAGAACCGCCTCAGGAATTGGCAAGAATGATGGGCTAAATGTGTTTGAAATGAAGGGCATTAAAGGCAGTGTATCTTTTAACGTAATAAATATTTTGTAGTTAAACACACTGTGTTTTTTTACCTGCCCTTATATATGAACCCCACAGTAGCGTACTTCTGTGTCTTCCCTCCTGGCCTTTATACTATTGTTGTCATACATTTTACTTACAAATCCTATAATATACGGGGCATGATGGCACATGCCTATGATCCCAGCACTCAAGATGCTGAGGCAGGAGGATTGCTGCAAATTCAAGGCCACCGTGGGCTACAGAGCAAGACCCTGTATGAGGGTAACAGAACCACGTCCTGGCTAACACAAGTTTTGCTGTGGGTTTAGCCACCTGTGCTGTAGGTTTAGCCACCCTGCTTTGCAAGTTACTAGGTTGCCTTGTGGGAACAGAAAGCCTTCCAGGGAACGCAGAAAAGCGTCTTCACTTGGTGCTACAGTGCAGTGTATTTCATCATCTTTTACCCCCATAGCTCATCCCCTCACCACCCTCTCCCCGGCCTTAGCAGGTACAAGTTCTTAGTCTTCCTGGAAGCACTAGGTGCCGCAGCACCTGTGCACCATAACACACAAGTGCAGGGTGTCAGCCCTGCAGGTGGCAGCGATTGGGACTGCTCTGCTGGGCGGATCTGGGCATCCAGAAGGGACAGGGATTGTAGGCTTCCAGGGACCAGAACCGAGGCATTCAAGGTACCAGGTACTCACTGGAGGGAAGTGGTTGCCGCTTGGTCCACAGATGGGCTGGAAGTCAGTCACAGGCATGTCACTGAGGACGTGGGGCGGGCTTGTGAGTGTGGTGTGATCAGAGCTTGGCCCCAGGGGAAGCCAGGTGCTCCTAGCGGAAGTAGGGTGGGAAAGCACAGGGAGGATGAGGAGGCTGCCAGTGTTGGTTATCAGTAAGAGCACCGGTGATGCTGTTAGGAATTCAGGCTGGCCTGCAAGGAGCCTGAGGAAAGAAAGAACAGAGGAGTCAGGTGGATCCAGCACATATCATCAAGTAGCTACACAGTATGTTAGGTCTTTGTTTCCTGTTTTACTTATTCCGCAAGTGACAGATGTCTTGATGTAGCCGCCTGGAGGCCAAGACCCAAAGGGTTCTCGGCCTGCATGTGGATGGCAGAGCCCATTGGAACCTGGATCTGTCTGACTGAGTCCTGAGTTCTCACCACTGCTTCCTGTCCCAGCAGGGATGTTCTCCTCAGGGCATGGGACAAGAATGCCACCACGCAGGAGGCCCTGAGGCCTTTCCACTGGAAACCTAACCACAGTGTTCTAGTTTACCTTTGTGTGTGTGTGTGTGTGTGTGTGTGTCTTTTTTTTTTTTTCCAGTACCAGGAATCAAACTCATGACCTTGTGTTTGCCAGGCAGGCTCTGTGCCACTGAGCTAAATCCCCAGCCCCTAAAAGTTTACTTTTCTTTTTTTTTTTTTTTTTTTTTATGGTGCCAGGAATTGAACTCAGGACCTTGTGCTTGCCAGGTAGGCACTTATACCACTGAACTATATCCCCAGCCCCTGTGTGTGTGTCTTTTTGAGACAGGGTCTTGCTATGCAGTTCAGGCTGGCCTCGAGCTCACTTTGTACCCAGGCTGGTCTTGAATGTGCAATGATCCTCCTGCCTCAGACTCCCGAGTGCTGGGATTACAGGTATGCACCACCATGCCTGCCTACCTTTATTTAAAAATAAGAATAGCAGGGCATGGTGGCCCATGCTTATAATCCCAACACTTAGGAGGCTGAGGCAGAAGGAACACCTCGAGTTCAAGGCCAGCCTGAACTACATAGTGAGACCCTGTCTCAAAAAATAAAATAAAATAAAAATAAAAGCTAAATACATGGTAAAAATCTCAAAAAGTACGAAATGTGTAAAATAAAAATGTTCTCTTTCCATTTCTCTCTTTGTAGTTACAATCCCACTCCCTGAAAGTTACGCCCCCCCAGCAGGGCTTGAGGTTCCAACTCTGCAGAGTATTTTTGCAATCCTGGGTAGCATCTAACACACCAACCAGGAAAGAGACTAAAAACTGTCCTATGAGAAACATGAGAAGGAACTGAAAGACGCTGAGGGAGCAGGAGTGCTGTTTTTGAAGATCTGGAACCTGGGTGTGGTGGCGCACGCCTATAATCCCAGCACTCATGAGGCTGAGGCAGGAGGATTGCTGTGAGTTCAAGGCCAGTCTGGGCTACATAAGGAAACTCTGTCTTAAAAACCAAACCAAACCAAACAAAAAGACCTGGAGGACAGTCATATATTGAACTCAGGACCTCGCGCTTACCAGACAGGCACTGTGGTGCTGAGCTATATCCCCGGCAATTCTGGTTTTTTGAAGAATCTCCACACTGATTCCTATGGTGGTTGCACCAGTCTGCACTCCCACCAGCAGTGGAAGAGGGTTCCTTTTTCCTGACAGCACCACCAGCATTTGTTATTGGTTGACTTCTTAATGATTGCCATTCTTTCTGAAGTAAGATGGACTCTCAGTGTTGTTTTAATTTGCTTCTCTCGAATGACCAGCGATGCTGAACAGTTTTTCATGTATTTATTTGCTGTCTGTTGGTATTTTAAATGGAGTGGTCAGGAGCTTCTCGCCCACAAGGTGCTTTTGTAAATAGAGACCTGTTGGGAGGGAAGGAGGCCGGCAATCACCGTGCGGTAGGAAGAGCAGCGCCAAGGTGCGCTGGGGCCTCTTTGACTGGCAGGGAGGGCAGGGAAAATGTGGAAGAGCTCAGGGTGGGAATGGCGGCCAGGATCTGACCAAGGGGTGAAAACAGAGTGCTTGAGAGGGGCCTCAACAGGCACACAGCGGTGAGGCAGGGCTGTGTCACCAAACACGAGGTCCCCTCTGAATGTGGAGGGCTGGCACTGGGGGTATAGATGGATGGCGCAGGTCAGGGACCTTCCTTCATCAAGACCCTAGAATGAATCTTCCTGCGGCACCCAGCGGGCCCCAGGCTGGTCTCTCTGAGGCTGTTCCCTGTTTTTGGCTTAGAGCTTCCATCACCCGAAGTTACAGAGCCTTCATCGGGACAGCTTCATCTGGAATCTGAAAAACGTTCCGCTTCTGGAGAAATACATGGATGCCTTAGGCCAGAACGGAAACCGCGAGATTGTTGAACAGGTCATTCAGCTGTTCAAGAAGGAAGTGGTGACAAAGCTAAGCCATTTTCGAGAATGTGAGTAGTCCTCCAGTCGAATACATACTTTCCTTGATATATATTTTCCGTGATATATGTGTACACACACACACACACACACACACACACACATATATATATATTTTGGGGGGAGGGATTGGTTTTAGTTTTGTTTTTTTTGAGACAGTGTCTCACTATGTCTTCCAGACTGGCCTTGAACTCACTATATAGCTCAGGCTGGCCTCTAAGTCACAGTGATCTTCCTACCTCAGCCTCCTGAGTGCTGGGATTATAGGTGCGCCCTGCCATGCCAGGCTTTTCTTGATATTTAAGTTTAAAGTAAATAAAATTGATATTTATATTTAAATATAAAATCATGCCATCAGAAAGGTATGGAGGGACAGCTTAGCTTTCTCAGTTCTTAAAACTGTCATACTGATTCCTATTACTTTGTAACAAATAATATTTTTACTTTTCTCAAAATTGCTGCATTTGAAGAAGCTGGGTATGGTGATGAACCCCTGTAAGCCCAAGTCCTTAATTTTTGGCTGTGTGAATATACTCTTGTGAAATGCCTGTTTAATTTTTTTTTTTTTGCCTGTTTTTCTATTGGAATATTTTCTCTTTGATTGGTAGAAGCTCCAAACATACTTGAGACAAGTCCTTTGTTTATGTTTTACAACTATTTTTCTGGTTCGTGGCTTGTATTTTACTCTATTGTACGTTTTGATGAAAAAAACAATTTTATTGGTTTCAAGTATGTTCATCTTTTACTTCATGGTTAATAAAGTATATTGGGTAGAACATTTTCCCTACCTTATGGCCAAAAGCTATTCTACATTATCTTCTTAAAATTTTATAGTTTTTGCTTTTCACATTAGCTCTGTAATTCACTGGAATTTATTTTTATATACAGTGTATTGTATGAATTCCTCTTATGGCTTAAACATTTTCTCACCACCATTTACTGAAAAGATAACCTTTTTTTTCTCTTTGTTGTAGTACTAGAAAGTGAACCCAGGTCCTTTACACTGAGCTGCATCTCCAACCCATTCTTTTTTCTTTTTCTTTCTTTTTTTTTTTTTTTTTTTTTTTTTGGTATTGGGAATTGAATTCAGGACCTTGCAGTTGCCAAGGCAGGTGCCATGCCGCTTAGCTATAACCCTGGCCCTCCAACCCTTTCTTTTTTATTTTTTATTTGGAGACAAGGCCTCACTAAGTTGCCCATGCTGGTCTTGAACTTGCAATCTCCTTGCCTCAGCCTGCTGGAGTTCTGGGACATGGACCACCATGCCCAGCTTCCTCTCTGTTTTATAGTACTACTTCTGTGGTAGATCAGATGTTTCTGTCCTATTTTATTCTCTGGTCTGTTTGTCTATGTCTGCATCCATCTAACACTGTGTGTGTCAGCTGGATTAGGTTATGATGTAGCTACAATAACAAAGGTTTTATTCTAACTGAAACTGCACATCTACCATGGATCGGCAAGGCCATGGGTTCTATCCCCAGCACTGCTAAATTAAAAAACAAACAAACCAACCACTCTGATTATGGATTGTCTATTGTTTGTTTGTATTTCTGTCAAACTTTGCTTTCTACAGTTTGAATCAATTGGGATACATCCCGATTTCTGGAATGTGCAGTGTAAAATTTGCAAGTTTCAGCCGTGTTTCTGGTTGTGCTGCTGCTTGTGCAGCATTACTTAAGCATGATTTACTCCATCCTAAATCACATGGGAGAAATCAGCATTATACTTGGAAAGTATAATCACACTTTTTGTGCCACCTACTTATTGCAGAATGTGATTCAGTGGTTTCATCCCCTGCAGAAAACCTAATCTTATGTTCATCCTTAGTCAGTGGCTTAAGTCGGTGCTTCTCAAACTATCCATGAAAAAGACAGTTTTTTCAGGTTCAGGTTTCCCCCCGCACCAGTCACTACAGTCTAACTCTACTGTGTGTGATCCCATCATCCCCCAGGCCACTTGCGACTACCCTGTCAGACAAAACTCAAGCTGCTCCATGCTCTGTCTATTGACACAGGGCCACCAGCTATACTCTTGGGTGTCAGATTGCTATAAAATGTTATATAAACATTCTCAGCTTCTGTTCTTACCTTGTGCCTATTGGTAATATTTTGTAGACCAGCACAGCCCTGGACCCCATGTTGAGTAGTAGCACTGACTCAAAATGCCATCTATCCCAGCCATCAAAAACATGGGGACACACAGAATTACTGTGTCATCAGATAGGGGCCTCTTGTCATCAGCTGCATGAAGACATAAATAAAAGCACACGTGGCCCATTCTAGGACTCTGTGCTTCTTATAATAACGTGAATGTGCTTATATTCATGGAACATTCCTGGTTTTGAGCAGTTCTCCTTTTCATTTTACTCTTCTGGCAGCCAAAGGCAGGATTTTTTGTGACTGTAAATTCCATCTTCTGCGCTTACATTGATGAGCAGCAAAAACAAAGACACCCCCAAAATCAACTGCATCCTTTGCAGAGAAAAAGATTTTATTTCAAGAAAAAAAAGCAGGCGGGTTGGGGGTTAGCAGATGCCATGAATAGCCTAGCCTGAGAAGAAAAGTGGAGAGATAATGAACTGGGATAGAAAATACCTTTCTATGGTTCTGCTTTCAGGCATCAATCATGGCGACCTTAACGACTATAACATTCTAGTTCAGCCCAGCGAGTCAGCCTCTGGAGATGCTGTGTACCAAGTGTCCGGAGTTTTAGACTTTGGTGACATGAGCTACGGCTGCTATGTTTTTGAAGTGGCGATCACCATCATGTACATGATGATTGAGAGCAAGAACCCCATACAAGTTGGAGGCCACATCCTGGCAGGGTTTGAAAGTGTCGTCCCGCTGACCGCCGTAGAGAGAAGCGCTTTGTACCTGCTTGTGTGCGGCCGTTTCTGTCAGTCACTTGTCATGGCTGCCTACTCTTGCCAGCTGCACCCAGAAAACAGAGAGTATCTCATGATTACTGCAAAAACCGGGTGGAAGCACTTACAGCAGATGTTTGACATGGGCCAGAAAGCGGTCGAGGAAGTCTGGTTTGAAACTGCCAGGTCCTACGAGGCTAGGCGCTCCATGTGACTAGGTAGGAGTTTGCATTTACTGGAGTCATTACAAATGCCATGGGGCCAAGTCACAATTTGTGAGGGAGGTTCTTGCACAGAGAGAAATGAATTAATGGAACAGATCCGTCCTGAATGTGGCAGAGCACACAAAACCTCTAAAGCAAACCCATGATAACGCATATTGTTTTTCCTTTAAGATACAAAATGTTAATGTATGAGGTTTGTTGTTTTGTTTTGTTTTGTTTTTCTAAACAAAAACCTCAGCATTCTAGTTTAATTGCAGTGTTGGCACTTTGCAATAAATAAGGGGGTCTTGGGTCGAAGTTTGGGCACTTCGTCTCTAAAAGGTTTACCATCACTACTCTAAGGTCTTCAAATGATTTCAGGACCACTTTTTTTTTTTTTTTTTTGAGACAGGGCCTTTTTTTTGGTACCAGGAATCAAACTCAGGACCTTGTATTTGCCAGGCAGGCACTTGTGCTGCTGAGCTATATCCCCAGGAGAGACAGGGTCTTACTCTGTAATTTAGGCTGGGCTTGAACTCATTATGTAGACTGGGTTGGCCTTGAATTCATAGCAATCCTCCTGCCTCAGCCTCCTGAGTGCTGAGATCACAAGCATACGCCACCATGCCTAGCCTCAGGACCACTTTTTTGAATATTTTTTTTATTTTAGAGATAAAAACCATACAGAAGGACCACTTTTAATTTTAAGAACTTATTTCTCCATGGGGCCGGCCATGTGCCTTGGGTGTGAAACCTACAGAATGATACCTGATTCTGAATCAGATCATCTCTTGAGATCTATCCAAGCCCTTGATCAATGACTTTTTTAAACATTGAAAGGAATACTCATGTGTGTGTATATAAGCAGATTTACATTTTATAAAGAATTGGACACAAATTCAGTTCTGGCAAACATATCACCAATTCTGTGAAATTGCTCTCCCTTCTTTAGACTCTGTGCATTCTTTCTTTTTCATGGCCGTTACTTGTGTACTGCATTATGCTTGTGCAGTCATCCAGCCTAGGAGCCATGTGATCATGGCAGAGACCATGAAGAGCTTGCTTTTGTTGCCTCCTCCCTTCTTCTCACACCTGTGGTTGTACCTTTCCCAGAGAAAGGTCTTTCAATGTATGTATTTGCAAAATGAATGTAAAGAGAAAGGCTGGAGAAGGCATCCACTGTGATGCCTTTGGAAGATACTCAGATGTAATTATATGAGAAAAAAGTTTCGCTCTTTGAGGAGGTGATTTTTTTTCAATCAGATTATATTGGTATATTTTATTTTATTTTGGAACCGGAAATTGAACTCAGGACCTTGTGCTTGCCAGGCAGGCACCTGTGCCACTAAGCTATATCCCTGGCCCTATATTGGTATATTTTAGATAGACATAAGGATTACTTTCATGAAAGGGAATTTGTACCTGTACATGATATGACTTGATTCTTTTTTTCCCATTCCCCTACCCTCCCTTCAACCCCTCTCCCCTCCCCATCTACAAATGCTTTGTTTCCATGTTTTCATTCTTTTCTCATTTTTTAATTTTCCCTTCTTTCCTTTCCCCCTACCTCCTCCCTTGTTCCCTTCCCCATTTGAACATTTTCTATTTCACAATAACTATTATACATTTTTGTCCTTATTTACACTTTCAGTTTCACACACCAGAGAAACAATAAAGTATTTACAAGTGTGTTTGATTTATTTCCCTTAAGAGTATGGACTCAAGGCCCATCCATTTTCCTAGGAACGTTTCCAGCTTATGCTTTATGGCAGAATAGTACTCCATTGTATTAAAAAAACGCATCTTCTTTATCCATTCATCAGTTGATGGGCACTTGGGTTGTTTCCAAGATTTGGCTATTACAAACTGTGCTGCTATCAACATGAGTGTGCACATATAGCTGTGGTAGGATGCTTTTAATTCTTTCAAGAAGGTATCCATATGGGAAATGGGACCCCTAGTCCTAGGTTTTTTAGGAATCTCCACACTAATTTCCAAATGGTTGCACCAGTCTACACTCCCACCAACAGTGGAGAAATAGCCCACCAGCATTTTTTTGTTTGTTTGTTTGTTTAGTTTTGTTTTTGTTTTTTCTGGTACCAGGAATCGAACTCATGACCTTGCGCTTGCCAGGCAGGCACTGTGCCACTGAGCTATATCCCCAGCACCCCCACCAGCATTTGTTATTGGTTGATTTCTTGATAAAAGCCATTCTTTGTGGGGTGAGATGTGACAAGGTGACTGAAACTGGAACTCCTGAGGTAGGTTCTGGGAGACAGCAGAGCTGCAAGGAAGCATATTAAGACCTCCAGTTAAAATCACTAATTGACTCAGAGCCAGGGCTGTGATCAGGTCTTTTGATGCAGCCCATGTTCCTAACTACTGCAGTCTTTTTTTTTTTTTTTTTT